TGCCCAGCTCATTTTTTGTATTTTTAGTAAAGACGGGGTTTCACCATGTTGACCAGGATGGTCTCCATCTCTTGACCTCGTGATCCACCCGCCTCGGCCTCCCAAAATGCTGGGATTACAGGCTTGATCCACCGCGCCCGGCCCGCTGAGTCTTTAATGCTGATATTATCCCAGAGATTAGATCTTGTAACACCTCGTAGTTTAAGTATATCCTAATGACAGTGAAACTGCATTTTATAATATTTCTTGAATAATAGGAGGAAAAATAAATTATCAAGTCCTTGATTCTGGTGTTGCAAAGAGAAATAGTCATTTCATTATATGGGATTTTGGATTGAATTCTTTTCAAGCAAGATTATAATTCATTATATCAGAATGTACCAAATGCGATTTAGGGTGACCTTGTACTATTTCCCGTAGTACTTATCATTTACTTATCATTAGAATTTTAATAGTCAACTTCCTTTCTAAACAACGAGTACCTATAATTGGAAATGGGATACAATTTGAGATGCCTTAGATGTAAAGGGATTTTGGTTGTGACTGGAAAAAAGTGGGCCGGGCGTGGTAGCTCCCGTCTGTAATCCCAGCACTTTGGGAGGTCAAGGTGGGCAGATGGCCTGAGCCCAGCAGTTCAAGACAAGCCTGGGCAACATGGTGAGACCTCACCTCTATTAAAAAAAAAAAAAAAATAGCTGGGTGTGGTGGTGTGCGCCTGTAGTCCCAGCTACTTGGGAGGTTGAGGTGGAAGGATCATTTGAGCCCCAGGAGGTCGAGGCTACAGTGAGCAAAGACTGTGCCACTGCACTTTAGCCTGGGAAACAGTGAAACTCTGTCTAAAAAGAAAAGGGAATGGCCGCACGTCCTAGAGAAAGTGTAGAGGACTGTGAAATAGGACACCTGGCTGAAACCTGGGCTCTACCAATCATTATCTGCAGAACTTCGATGCTCAGAGATACTTAAAAAGTTCCTCATTCTCAAAAAATAATCTGCAGTTCTACTTTATTCGGTGATTATTGCTAAGTTACATAAGTATCAACATGCCCGATCCAGGTAAATATATCATCTCAGTGTCTTCTCCAAGCACTTTTCCTATGAGCTTTACATCAGAAAATTTATCACATCAAAAACCAACTATTCCATTAAATCTGTAATTTTCCATGGAAGACAGTGATTTTCACAAAGGGGAGAGGAAATCGTTGATGGGACACCACCGAGTGGTCCCACGAGCACGAAAACAGACATCGCACTCACTGTGGAAGGCTCCCAGTGACTCAAAGTTTTGTTTTAGTGTATTACCATGTTTTCGTTTATATTAACATCTATATGTGGTTCTGTGAAAGTTGGAGGGTAAGGTTTGGGTGGGGAATCCCCAAACTTGGAAATAAGGGAACTGAGTTTATTTCTAGCCTTGATATTAGTTTACTTATTTCTGCTCAGTTTCACCACGGGGAGGCAGAGCAAGATGGCAGAATAGAAGTCTCTACTGATCACCACCCCATCCCCACCCCCACAAGGACACTAATCTAACAACGATCTTCACAGAAAAAACACCTTCATGAGAACCAAACATTAGGTGAGCCCTCATAGTACCTGGTTTTAACTCTGCATTGCCACAAGAGGCACTGAGGATATAGAGAAACAGTTCTGAATCGCAGATGCCACCCATCCCCACCCCTTGCAGTGGTGGCATGGTGCAGAGTCTGTGGGCACTGCGGGAGGGAGAACACAGCAGTTGAGAAACAAAGAACTCAGTGCCAGACCAAGCTCAGCTGACACCCACCCACGGAGGGAGCATTTAAACCAGCCCTGGCCAGAGGGGATCGCTGATCAAAGTGGTTGGGAACTTGAGTTCCTCTAAAGAAATTTGAGGCCAGGCGCGGTGGCTCACGCCTGTAATCCCAGCACTTTGGGAGGCCGAAGCGGGCGGATCGCAAGGTCAGGAGTTTGAGAGCAGCCTGGCCAATATGGTGAAACCCCATCTCTACTAATTAGCTGGGCATGGTGGTGGGCGCCTGAAATCCCAGCTACTCGGGAGGCTGAGGCAGGAGAACTGCTTGAACCCGGGAGGTGGAGGGTGCAGTGAGCTGAGATCTTGCCATTGCACTCCAGCCTGGGCAACAAGAGCGAAACTCCATCTCAAAAAAAAAAATTTTTTTTCACAAGTGAGTCTTGGTGCTGAACTGGCCCAGAGACAGTGGACTGAGGGGGCATGCAACTTACTGAGATACCAGCTGGGGTGGCATCACCCCTACCGTAATCCCAGGCTGCACAGCTCAAAGCTCCAAAAGAGACCCCTTCCTTCTGCTTGATGAGAGGAGAGGGAAGAGTGGGGAGGACATTGTCTTGTATCTTGGATACCAGCTCAGCCACAGCAGGATTAGGGCCCTGGTCAGATTTGTGAGGTCCTGTTCCAGGACTAGCTCCTGGATGACATTTCTAGACACTCCCTGGGTGAGAAGGGAACCCACTGAATTTAAGGGAAAGACCCAGTCCTGGAGGCATTCATCACCTGCTAACGGAAGAGTGCTTGGGCTCTGAATAACCAGCAGGACACCCAGGTCCTACACTGAGGGCCTTAATCAGCCTCTGAGAATGGCTGGCTTCAGGTGGGACTCAGCACATTCCCACCTGTGCTGCAGGGCAAAACTCCTGCTTGAGAAAAGAGGACCTTGTCTTGCACTTTAGGTACCAGCAGAGCCACGGTGGGGAGAGAACCAAGTGGTCTCTAAGTTGTTACCAGCTTAAAATACCGGATTATAAGTATCTGCAGGCCTCACAGTGGCCTCAAACCTGGAAACATACACTGGATACACAAAAGATAAAAAGTGAGAAACTAAATTATATTCAGGGACTGTGTTAACTTCTCTTCCCAAGTCCACACGGGGCGCGGTTTCAAAGGCAGAAATCTCTCAGTGACATGCCTGACCTGCCTTCATTCACCTCCCCATCTGGGAACTAGAGTTCTTTTTTTTTTTTTTTAAGACGGGGTTTCACCATGTTGGTCAGGCTGGTCTTGAACTCCCGACCTCAGGAGATCCACCCGCCCCCACCTCCCAAAGTGCTGGGATTACAGGCGTGAGCCACGGCGCCCGGACGGAACTAGAGTTCTTTGTCTAACTTTCCCATGAGCAGGAAGGACAGACAGCCCAGGTGAGCTTCCTTTGTTTAGAAAGCCCACCAAAAGCCTTGGAAGGAGGGGCTCTACTGCAAGCCAGGCAGCCAATCCGGCATCGAGTCAATCAGTCACTCCAGAGGAATTTTGGAAAAGCTCTGCTCACTGGACCAGAACTTGAATGGGGTGGGGGTAACTCCGGGGTTAAATTCCCCCTGCTCCCTTACCTATACGGACTCCATCTCTGGATCCCCTCCCATGACAGTGTGGGAGCTGTCTCTCTCTCTCTCTCTCTCTGCCTAATAAATTGCGTTTCTGCAAAACTCTCTGGGTCCAATACTTGAAGAAGCTCACCGCGCCACCAGGGCTCTCTCCCCGTTCTTGGGTGAGTGAGGCCCAAGGACTGGGAAAACACATCCGATCAGGGAACAATGAGTGTCTTTGGAACCCCCTGCAACCTGCTCCTGTCCGCTGGTTACAATATCACCAGAGAAAATCACCTTCACTAAAGGAAGACAGGAAGGCAAGAAAGAAGACCGCAAAACAACCAGGAAACAAATAATATGGCAAGAGTAAGTCCTTACTTACCAATAATAATAATGAGCGTAAGTGGATTAAACTCTCCAATCAAAAGACACAGAGTAGCTGAATGAGTGAAAAATCAATTTTACCATGTAATGATCCCTCCAAATACCTTAGGGTTGTATTGTCAAGTTGGTCGTTATTGGTGTTACAAAAAAAACTTGGTCACAGGGCTCCACTGAGCATAAACAGGAGAATAAAGTCTAGCATAAAAAATACTTTAAGGCCGGGCGCAGTGGCTCAAGCCTGTAATCCCAGCACTTTGGGAGGCTGAAGGCGGGTGGATCACGAGGTCAAGAGATCGAGACCATCCTGGCCAACATGGTGAAACCCCGTCTCTACTGAAAATACAAAAATTAGTCGGGTGTGGTGGCATGCACCTATAGTACCAGCTACTCCGGGAGGCTGAGGGGGAAGAATCACTTGAACCTGGGAGGCAGAGGTTGCAGTGAGCTGAGATTGTGCCACTGCACTCCATCCTGGTGACAGAGCAAGACTGTCTCAAAAAAAAAATGTATGAATGTTTCTTGTAAGGAAGAAACACTGATAAAAAATTCAGCCTTTTCTTTGGTTTTGCTTTTTCTGTCAAATTTAAAAATTATATAACTACTTTGGATTAAAAGTGATATAGATATATATATATCACTTGTTATATTATGATCTTCATGTATGCATCTATGCATCCTCCCTCCTTCTTCCATTTAGTGAACTGTATTCACTAAATGTGATTGTTTCTTCTGGATGGCGAGTTTGTTTTTTCTTTATATTTTTATTTTTTTAGAGATGGGCTCTTGCTGTTGCCCAGGCTGGAGCGCAATGGTGCAATCCTATCTCACAGCAGCCTTGAACTCCCGGGCTCAAGTGGTCCTCCTGCTTCAGCCTCCTGAGCACTTGGGACTACAGGCACATACCACTGCACCTGGCTAAGTTTCAAGTTGTTTTTAGAGATGGGGTCCCACTATGTTGCCCAGGCTGGCCTCAAACTCCAGGCTTCAAGCTATCTTCCTGCTTCCCCGACCTCCCAAAGTACTGGGATTACAAGTGTGAGCCACCATGCAATCTTTAAAGACTTTTCTGATGAGACTGGCAGTGATATAAATAAGTGATTTTGGTATGAAATAATGAACAACAACATTTGGAAATCTGTATCATTCAGTGGACTGTTACTTCCTAAACAACAATGCAGATGCAAGAATCACATCTGGGTAAAAGTTCCACTCGGGGTGCAGGAGAGGTCACTGTGTTCTAATGCTTCAGGACATGACGTTCATTGATATGATTTCAGATTCCACATGGCAGCAAACCGTTTTTCAAAATAACTTTTATTTTGAAATAGTTGAAGACTCAGAAGAAGTTGCAAAAATAGTACAGAGTTCTATATACCCTTCACCCAGCTCCCCACAATGATGGTATCTTACACAGCAATTCTATTAATTCAAAGACATTCCTCAGCAGCCTTTCACGCTCTGACATACACTCATTTCTTCTCTTTTTTTCCAACTAACCTTAAGAAAACCGTCACTTGTCAAGTTTTGGTGTCGACACCAAAAATGACCCGGTGTTATCAAGTAAGAACATCCAGCCGGGCGACGTGGCTCACTCCCGTAATCCCAGCACTTTGGGAGGCTGAGGCGGGCGGATCACTTGAGGTCAGGAGTTTGAGGCCAGCCTGACCAACATGGAGAAACCCTGTCTCTCCTAAAAATACAAAATTAGCTGGGTGTGGTGGTGCACGCCTGTAATCCCAGATACTTGGGAGGCTGAGACAAGAGAATCACTTGAACCTGGGAGGCGGAGGTTGCAGTGAGCTGAGATCGCGCCATTGCACTCCAGCCTGAGCAACAAGAGCAAAACTCCGTCTCAAAAAAAAGAAAAAAAAATCCACAATGATCAGAAAAAGGACATTAAAATATTTCTCCTCTTTCCAACTACTGATCTGTCTGAAGACAGATTTTCTTCATATATACATATTTTTTTAAATTAATTAATTTATTTTGAGAGGGAGTCTCACTCTGTCACCCAGGCTGGAGTACAATGGCACAGTCTCCGCTCACTGCAACCTATGCCTCCTGGTTCAAGCAATTATTCTGCCTCAGCCTCCCAAGCAGAAGGGATTACAGGCACCCACCATCATGCTCAGCTAATTTTTGTATTTTTGTAGAGATAGGTTTTCGCCATGTTGGTCAGGCTGGTCTTGAACTTCTGACCTCAGGTGATCCGCCTGCCTCAGCCTCCCAAAGTGCTGGGATTACAGGTGTCGGCCACTGTACCTGGCCGATTTTCTTCTTGTATTTTAACACATATCACATCAGGTCAAACACAGAATCCAGCTGCCTTCAATTAAGCCAGACATTAAGAGGTTTGCAAACATGTACAACAGTACCATTTTTCTCATTACACATTTGTTTTTTGTTTCTTTTTTTAAAGACAGAGTCTCACTCTGTTGTCTAGGATGGAGTGCACTGGTACAATCATGGCTCAGTCATGGCTCACCACAGCTGTGAACTTCTGGGCTGAAGCAATCCTCTTTTCTCAGCTACCTGAGTAGCTGGGACCACAGGGGTGTGCCATCAGGCCCAGCTAATTTTTGAAGTTTTTGGAGATCTGAGGGTCTCATTATGTTGCCCAGGCCAATCTCAATCACCTGGGCTGAAGTGATCCCCTGACTCTGGCCTCCCAAAGTGCTGGGTCTCACTGAATTTTTTTGTTTTGGAAAATACAGTTAAATTTCCTTAAAGTGTTACAAAATAATATGCAATAGATTCTTTATAAATGACTAATTTTTAAAATCTTAGTTTTTATCTCAAATGCCATAGACACTGATACGTGTAACCCTCATAAACCAAAGCTCCTTGGGGCCCTCAGTGGTTTGTAGGATCCCTAAGATAATCCTGGTGCCTCCTTCCAGAGCGCCTGGACTCTAACAAAGGCCAGGACGTTTTCATTCATTGACTTAAACACACCTATCTGGGTCATACTATAGCTTATTCAGAGGAAATTAAAAGTCCAAAAGCTTTTTGAGTGATTCCCAATAGGGGAAATATGACACAAACTGTGTATTAAAGTGACCTCTTATTAAACTATTTACTACTTAATCTAAATTCAGGTACAGTAGTCAAAGAAGTTACAGCTATTCATCAACTTGGTTGAATTCACATCTTCCATCTTAGAATAACAGCAGACTTTAAGCATGTATTATTTTTCCAGTGTTCAGCTTAGTCTAAGACTGTGTGAGTCTGGTTTGATCCATTGCTGTGAAGAATACACAGACAGCAGCTGTAATGAGCAGATGCATCCCCTCATAGAGAAGCTTTGGAGAAAATACACTCCATATGAATAAATGATAGCGCAGAGACGTCACCAAGACGATATATGTGGAAACTGGAATAGAGCAAATCATCGCGTAGCAGAAGCAAGCATGACTCAGTGCTGAGCTGCTGGTAATGAGAAAGAAAACATGTATTAGCACATGCCACTTACGGTTCACATGTATAACAAAACTTTCGCTTTCAAAAAGACTACAGTAGTTCCTGCCCTGGGACGAGAGGGCGCCGTGCTCCGTCTTCCACACTTACATCCAGTCACTATGGTGCTGGGACACGTGCCTCTCCAGATGCCCTGGAGACGAGAAAACCTGTGCTGTCCCCTTGGAGGCTGCATTCCAGTAAAGGAGGCAGGAGCAAACAGGTAACACGGCAGGAAGAGACAAACTCATCAAGAAAAATAAAGCAGACTAAACAGAAGGATGGGTGAGGGCCACCATGTCCTACACACACACGTGGAGCTCTCCAGAAATGCTTCTAAAACTTGACTGTAAGCAAAAACCACCTATGGTGTGTGCTAGAAGTGCCACTCTGGAGCCCCTCCCCACGGAAATCTGGATGTGGCTGGTCCTGGAGGTGGGCAAAGGTCTGTGTATCCATCCACCGCAGCGTCCAAGGGGACACGAGCTGCAGCCCCGACTGCTTGGCAGTGCCACTGTTGTCCGTAAAGCATCTCTGAAAAACGCACCCCTAGACTTTGCAGTTATTTTAAAATTATATATCCATGTGCTACTATATCACATGCATTATAAAATATAAACAACGAATAGAAAATCACAAAAGGGCAAGATACAAATAAACAAAAATACGAGCTCTGCTGTCCAGCGGGCGCCATGTCAGTCAGCCCAGGCTGGGCTAGGGAACCTGGCCCAGCAGCATCTGCTGAGCAAATCCACAGGGAAAGGCAGCATTCTCGGAACAGGAGCCTCCCCCTGAAGTATGTCAATGTACTGCCCTGCTTTTCAGTCCACAATACATCACGTAAATATCTTCCTCAAAGCGACTTCTCATGAGTCTGTGATGACTTCAAAATTATAAATTCCACTATTTGGGCCATTTCCATGCCCCATCCATGGCCTCTGATCAAGTCCTGTTAGAAAGGGCCCGTGGGGCGGCCCCCAGACCCTCAGAGGCCAGGCCTTCCAGGATCCTGGTCTAAGTTCTGCCTTTGATGCCTCCTCTCAAAGGCTGCAGTGAGTGTGGAGCGGATCTGCCTGCGGTCTCTCTGCATCCCACTTCGCTGCTGCCTGGTCTCCCTAAGCAAGGCTTCCACCGCTCACGGCGCAGGCCCTCCTGCAAGCATGCCGGTGTGCAGAGATGCTTACGGCGCGGCTATAGTCCAATGTGGGCGGGGCGTGAGGGCTTCCACCACGGTGGACAGTTCAGAGGCATTCATGCCGTGAGAGCCTCACACAGGAGGTAAGCAGCGAGGGGCTCCTCTTAGGGTGGGAAAAGCTCTAAGGCAGGGCAGCAGGTGTGTGTGCCTGGGTGTGTGGGCCCCACTGCGTGTCCTGTGAAAGGCTCCTCAGTCCTGTCAACCTGGCAGCTCCACCAGGTGCTACCTGAGGGCGTCCTGTAAACGGCTCCTGCTTCAGTGCTCACTACTCAGGAAAGGGCCAAGGACAGGGCTGTCCAGGTGCCCGGAACCTCATGCTCCCCCTGGTGAGCAGCTCGGGTTGCCCCCTCCATGGCCTCACCGCAGCCCCTCACCGGCTCCTCATCTCAGGCCTCAGTGGGCCACTCCTTCCCTCAGCCTGCCTCGTGTTCCAATCCAATACACAGGCCTAGGATCTCCCTGTGGGGGCCCCAGTGCCTGTTTCCTTTCACTGCTTTCCTTGCCAGACTGAGGCTCCTTAGGTGGGTCCCCTGAACCTATACCACTGGTCACCACTTGGTATCCAGCTCTACAGGCCGGGGACCCCACAGGGAGGGGGACCCCAAGGCGCCCTCGACACGCGCTGGTGACAGCAACACCCAGGAAGGCAAACATTCAGCAGGAAGCTTTGTGGCTAAACAGCCCATGGGTCCCAAGGCTGTGACTGCCCTCTCTTGGGAAGCAAAAACGGGCATCTGGGGTATGCCTCGTCCTACCCAGACAGCACATGGGAAGCTGTGGCTTTGACCCGGCACCACCTTGACTTCAGTCTAACAGACTTCTCAACGTTTCCCATCTAGAAGACGGCGGCTTGGGTCTGATCATAACAAGCCCACCAGCGGCTTGCTGTTCCCAAAACCTCAGCAAAGAGCCGCTTGTGCTGCAGGGAGCAGGCAGCCCGCGGTGCCAGCCCTGATGCCAGCCCCTGGAACAGAGGGTCACCGATCACACTTTTCACCGGCTGGAAACGGTTTCTCTGCCTACCACTTAGACCCGGTTATAGTTTTCCTGCTCTACTGAAACAAAAAAGAAACCATGCTTTAAGCTTTCAAAAAGGAAGGAGAAAAACCTGTTATATTACGAAGGAGAAACACTCCTTGACTAGGGATAATAGGCAATACTCTCCAGCTGTTCAAAATGCTTTCATGGCTGTGCACGGTGGCTCACACCTGTAATCCCAACACTTTGGGAGGCTGAGATGGGTGGATCACCTGAGTTCCAGAGTTCGAGACCAGCCTGGCCAACATGGTGAAACCCCCGTTTCTACTAAAAATACAAAATTATCTGGGTGTGGTGGTGCATGCCTGTAATCCCAGCTACTTGGGAGGCTGAGGCAGGAGAATCACTTGAACTTGGGAGGTGGAGGTTGCGGTGAGCTGAGATCGCTCCACTGTACTCCAGCCTGGGCAAGAAGAGCAACACTGTGTCCAAAAAAAAAAAGCTTTCATTTGAGTTTTTTCCTCCCGATACACCTGGCTATGTAAAGTCACCTAGTCCATCACTGTAACCTTCGAGCATCAGGGCAGCTGCAGGGCCAGTGACGGAATCTACAGAGAGAAGGGCTGTGCTTCCAGCCCTCAGTCCCCAGCTTGCTGCTGGCAACTGTGCCGTGCATGCAGAAGGTGCTGGATCATTCCGTGCGTGGCTGTGGCACACGCATTCTCCAGGGCGGAGACGGACACGCCTCTACACACTCACACCCACTTGTCCTGAAACCTAACCACATGTCGTGCTGACAGCCCACCCTAGACAGGGTGGGCTGTTTCCAGGACGGGCCTCCTGTTTCCATAAGCCCAGTGTGAGCACGCAGCTGGCCTCAAACCAAGTCAGAGAAAGATGTCCCAGATCAACTTTGGAGAGACAGGCGGGTGGCTGAGTGGTGATCTCACAGCAGATGCTTGTTTCTCACAGAATCAAAGTCTGGAAGGACGTCTCCGCCCCACCCTGCCCTGCCATGGAGTGGGAGGGGGGCATCTTCCAGGCTGGTCTGTTGGGGGCTTCTGCCCCCAGAACCTCAGCTTTCTGCTGTGACCATGAGTTCAGCGGTTTCTGTAAATTAAGAGGGTCTGTCCACAGACTGCCCCAAAGTGGGCGTGTCAAGTGTCCACAGGCACCTGGAGAAGACACAGGTGAATCTTAGGCATTCCTGTCCTCAGGAAGCTTGCAGTCTAGCCAGGAAGTGATTCTGACCTTGGAATGGCTCCATGTCAGCTGTGGGAACACACACACCTGCCACTGCTGCCCGGAAGCAAGGCCAGTGCTCCCCTGGACCCGTTATAGAAACCTGAGAGGGAGTGAGGGGGTCCAGCCCAGGCTCACCGAGTCTGTGGGTCATGAGCACTTCCACCAGGATGGACGGTTCTTTTGGCTCAGAAGTATTCATGCTGTGAGAGCCTCAACACAGGTGAACGGCGAGAGGCTCTTTTCAGGGTGGGCAGCAGGTGGGTGTACGTGGGTGCGTGGGCCCTGCTGCATGTCCTGTGAAGGGCTCCTCAGTCCTGTCAGCCCGAGGACACCTCTGCAGAGTTGACAGGGGGCTGGGCATTTGGGTCTAGAGGCAAGGGCAAGGGTCCCTGTGGCCTGGGTCTTAGCAGCTGGTCTGGGGAGTGGGAGTGAGGTGCAGCAAGGATTTGGGTGGGGCAAAGAGGATGTACCGGTGAAGGGGGCTGTGGAGCAGAAGCCAGAGGGCAGAGCAGGGCCACAGAAACGTGCAGAGTGCTCTGTGGAGTCACTGAGAGCTCGGCAAGAAAGTCACTGTCCTGGGAGGGGTGGCATGGAGCTCAACAGTCAGTGCTGCAAGAGTGACTGTTCAGTCGTGGGAAGAAGCAGGAGCCCTCCAGCCTCACTGCTCAACCAAGGGGCCATGGCGCACTACCTGGGGTCCTGGCCTGACTCGGGTCTCTTGTCACTACAGGACACAAAGCTCTGGCTGAGCCGGCTGAAGCCACCTAGCGTGTGTGGGAGGCTGGACGAGTGTCTCAGATGCTCACTTGCTGGGGAGGAGGCAGTGCCACGGCATGTGATTTCCGCACAGTCGAAACGCACAGGCGCTGCCGGGATTTGTGACCGTGGCTGGCAGCAGGGACAAGCGTGGAGCACAGGGCGTTCCAGCAGATGCCGCAGGAGCCACCAGCCCCTCCAGGGCTTCGAGCGCTTCCAGGTGCCCCCCACTGACAACTCCCATTTTACAGATGGGAAAACTAGGCACCTGAGAGTCTAACTTTGCATGACCTGAGGACTCCGACAGACCAGGTTGGGAAGTACAGAATCAACCTCCTCCCACTCCACTGTGGGCCTGACCCTGCCAGGGCCAGGCACTGAGGGTGCTGTGGTGAACGGAGCTGGTGAAGCCCCTGCCTCACAAAGCCTCTTTTCTTGGGGGAGCAAGATAGAAACACACAAGGAGGAAGCTGTGAGTGTGCAGTGGTGGGAATGCTACAGAGAAGACAGGTGTGTGGAGGGAGGGCTGCAGCCTTGATTGGGGGTCCCCTGGGGAACGTGTGCACAAAGCCTCCATGAGATGGACGTGTGGAGGGAGGGCTGCAGCCTTGATTGGGGGTCCCCTGGGGAACCTGTGCACAAAGCCTCCATGAGATGGACGTGTGGAGGGAGGGCTGCAGCCTTGATTGGGGGTCCCCTGGGGAACGTGTGCACAAAGCCTCCATGAGATGGACGTGTGGAGGGAGGGCTGCAGCCTTGATTGGGGGTCCCCTGGGGAACGTGTGCACAAAGCCTCCATGAGATGGACGTGTGGAGGGAGGGCTGCAGCCTTGACCTGATGTCCTCCGGGGAATGTCTGCACAAAGCCACCAGGAGCAAGGTGGGTGTCAGAGAGGAGACCTCAGCCTAGGTGGAGGGAACAAGATGGGCCAGAACAGGCCCGATCCCAGCCAGGAGCCCTCTCCAGCAGGGTCTCTGGGGGCCCAGAGCCATCTTTTATCTCCATGTCCCCAAAGAAGAAGAACTACCTGCCCTCAATCTGGCCACCAGCAAGCAGAAAAAAATCTAGGGAGGTGGGAAAAAGAATTTTCCTTCCTGTGTATCTAGAAACCACGTGCTGGTGTGACCTGGGGAGCCCAGCAAGACCCCACATCAGACCTGAGCCTGGCTCTACACGCCTCAGATCCGTGAGCTTTGGACTGTTCCTTATTCAAGGAAAAGAAAACCGATGAAAAGACTGTTGGACCCACAGAGCTCAGATCCCCTTGCATATGGAACGACGTATGACTCTTAAAACCAGGCAGCCTGTCCCCAGAACTGCTGAACAAGAGAGGCGCCTCACCTGTGTGTTTCCGAGCTCAGGAAGTGCACTAAGTGGCTGGCCCAGAGCAGAGGCCCTGCGTACGTCCCAAACGCTGTCAGAAACACGGCTGGGATTTCCACGTAGGTGTCTAAACCCACGAAGCCTGCAGAGATGTCCACAGTGGCAATGTTGTTGGAGTTGCCCTGGAATACAGAAGATGAGACGTGGGCCTCACATGTGGCATCAACAGCTGTGATGTTAGCATGAAATGTGTATGCAGCCCAGATAGCCACGCCGGCACAGACACACGTGTGGTCTGCCCAGCCACTCCTTCAGACCACCGGGCTGGCCTTGCCTGGGTGGCACCCGCTCCCCCTGCCTGCAGTGCCCAGGCTGCGGAGGGGCATGTGAGCCAACTGGGCAGAAGCTGGGGCCCCTCTGAGGAAGGACACACACAGAACAGCTGGCCAACGGCAGCACAGTTTAGACCTTCATCTAGACCCATCAACTTTTCTTAAGACAGGCACATGGACCTCCCCTCAAGGACGCCTGTCTGAGGGGACACATATGGCCCTGAGAGGCACAGCTGCCGGGCCCAGCCGAGGAGGTAGCTGGGTTGAAGGCCAGGTCCCTTCTACAGTGATGAGCTGAGTGAGTTACATGGTGGAGGGCAGGCCAGCTGCCAGGGGAGCGCAGCCCCGATGCAGATTGGTAACTCAATCTGGCTTATGTATCAGACCATGAGGACTCACTTGGTCTGGTCAAACTTCATCTGTCAAGATTCTGGCCAGTCCTGGCCCAATCCTGGTGGGTAACTCCCTGCAGGACTCACCTGTGCCACACAGCTTACCCTGCTCTTGAGTGGCAGGATTCTGGATCCCAAAAAAGGGTCTCCTGAAATCCCACCTCTCCACCTCAAGACTCTGTCTCTCCGCTGCCAGGTCCCACCTCTCCACTCCCAGATCCTGCCTCTCTGCCCCCAGGCCCCACCTCTCTGCTCCCAGGCCCCACCTCTCTGCTCCCAGGCCCCACCTCTCCACCCCCAGGCCCCACCTCTCCGCTCCCAGGCCCCACCTCTCCTTTCCCAGGCTCCGCCTCTCCTTTCCCAGGCCCCACCTCTCTGCTCCCAGGCCCCACCTCTCCTTTCCCAGGCCCCACTTCTCTGCTCCCAGGCCCCACCTCTCCTTTCCCAGGCTCCACCTCTCTGCTCCCAGGCCCCACCTCTCCGCCCCCAGGCCCCACCTCTCTGCTCCCAGGCCCCACCTCTCCTTTCCCAGGCCTCACCTCTCTGCTCCCAGGCCCCACCTCTCCTTTCCCAGGCTCCACCTCTCTGCTCCCAGGCCCCACCTCTCCACCCCCAGGCTCCACCTCTCTGCTCCCAGGCCCCACCTTTCCTTTCCCAGGCCCTGCCCCTCCATGCTCCATCTTTACTGACTCTGATGGTCGTCACTTGCCTGTCATGCTAACCTTGCCTCAGAAACTCATGCCATCTACAGTGTGACAGCACGTGTCTCTATCAAACCCAAACAAGATCCCTCTCCAGAACCAGAAGTGTTGACATCCACAAAACACTGGCTGGATTTCACCAGCATGGCAAACTCAATAGTCAAACCCCTCTCCTTCCTCCCTTTCCATGCAGACAGCTGTGGGCCCAGGGGATCCCCACATCCTGTTGATGCTGCTTCCCCAACATCTTGTGGATGTGCGTTTACTCCTAGTCCTGTTGTCTTACCCCAGCCCCAGCCCTTTGATTTAGCTTCCCCTGGGACCCACTGGACTTGCAGCCTGGGCGGCCCCACCCCAATCATGTGACTCCTCCACTTGGAGCCCTTGAGCAGGGAGACTGAGAAGGCAAATAGGCAGCAGCAGCAGCAGGAGGCCCTGGAGGGCGGTGAGAGGACAGAGTCCCAGATGCAGTGACAGGAGGAGGGGGAGGACACTGGGGCCACTGTGGCTCCGAGCAGGTTCAGCCAGAGTTCCAGCCATGCCGACATTTCCGTAGCCACACAGCGGCTTTACCGGCATGACTCCATTTAACCCAACAGTCCTGACGTGCTTCATGATCATCCTCATCAAACAGGGAGGAAAGGGAGGTAGAGACCCAGGGACTGGCCAAATGTAGAGGGCCGACAGATGAGCAAGGGCACTCACACTGTGAGCTGTGCCCGCTCTCCTGAGGTTGCCAGGAGGCTGGATGAGACTGGGTCCCTCTGAGGCCCTGTCTGCCTGTCCGTCTACGTCTCTTCCTGACTCAATGGTTTGGGCTTGTCTGGACGGGTCTTTAAACACTGGCCAGAAGCCCTGGTGACCCACCAGGCCTCAGGGAACTGACAACCACGTGGGCACCAATGGCCCCAGTATGGACAGCCCTGACACCAGGGACAAAGAGCGTGAATGAGAACATTATAGTCATCAATTAGGCAAGTCAAAAACATGACGTCTGTGGTCCCTGAACTGCTCAGATAAACCCAGGCCTGGCCCTGCAGAGCAGCAATCTGGTGTCTTACGCAGCCACACACCCACACCTGGGGCGTCTGTCTTCAATCTCATAAAACACACACGAGAGTTCAGCATAATTCACCACGCCATGCTGACAGTTCTTTCACTAAACAAACACTGGAACCTTCCAACTTACAGCAAACTTCTCAAAGAAACACTTAAAATAAATGATATGTAAAAAGTTAAGCCTTCTACCCATGAGGAAAATGAAAACCTACCTGAAAATAGAAGAATGCTTGACCGAACCAATAATGCATCACAGTAACCTCAGCTGCGTCGTGTCTCAGAGGCCTCCAGATGAATTTAGTCATCAGAGTCTGAATCAAGAGACTAAACGCTAAGACCGGAAGATTGTGTGGTCTGAAGAGCAAGGCTGCCAGGAGAACTAACCCACTGTGGATCTCCCACAAACCCACAGTCTTGATTCTGAAGTCTGCGGGAACAACTTGAGCTTTAAGTAAGTCTTTGGTGCCCGTGAACAGAATGCCAAGGACAAAGACATACACGAAACGAGCTTCAGTGATACCCCTAAAAAAAAAGCACAGGTTAGATTCATTAGCACCAGCCAGAAAAATTCAAAACCATTTTCCCATGAAAAACACACCTGTCTACCTAAGGAAGCAGTCAGTGTCCCAGCATTACTGGCTGGAGGAGCCACAGTACCCTCCCTAACTGCCAGGGCCTGTCACGGCAGGGCAAGGCTCCTCTGCACAGCAGCCCCGAGGAGTCACTGCCAAAGGCCAACAGGTGTGTCCTTGGGCACAGTGCAAACTCTGCTGCCGGGGTTGGCTTCAGGGAGGTGTGTCCTTGGGCACAGTGCACACTCTGCTGCCGGGGTTGGCATCAGGGAAATCTTGCTCCTTTGGCTCAAGGATCACCTGGCGGCAAGACCCAAGCAATGCCTCACGGCCTGCCTACTTTGCACAGTTAATTAAAAACCCAATGCACTAGTGTAAGAGTCAACTCTAAGAAACTGCTGTAAGTTCATAAATGTGAATTGTACAACTGAGCATCTGCACATTTACGGATACACACGCATGCACAGTTATAGGTAAGTAAGCGCCTGCACATTTACAGGCACACATCCATGCAATGGTGCAATCGTCCAACCCGCAGACTCTGAAGAAAGGCAGGGCTCTCCTGCTCAGGGCGTGTCAGTCAAGACTTCTGACCCTCAGCTTTGCTATTTGTGAAATGAAGAGAAAATGGTTCTACACCTCACAAGGTCATCCTAGGAATTAAGGGAATGCAGGCAGTGTTGGGGACACAGTAAGCTCAGTAAATATTAAGTACTATTATGATAGTTATCTGTAAAGGAGACAATTACCAAAAAATGTCATCTAACAAAACGTATATGTTCCTAAAACATAATATTTTAAATAAACTTTGTAAATGAAATACTTTATATATACTGCAAAAGCTGATCATTTAAAATAATCATAAATGTTTTATGTCAACATAATAATGTGAAAACTGAATTTTCCTATATCATATTTTCCTAGAAAGCTTTGTACATTAAGAAATTAAACTTTGGCTGGGCACCGTGGCTCACGCCTGTAATTCCAGCACTTTGGGAGGCCGAAGCGGGTGGATCACGAGGTCAACAGATCAATATGGTGATTGACATCCTGGTCAATATGGTGAAACCCCGTCTCTACTCAAAATACAAAAAATTAGCTGGGCATGGTGGCATGTGCCTGTAATCCCAGCTACTCAGGAGGCTGAGGCAGGAGAATTGCCTGAACCCAGGAGGCGGAGGTTGCAGTGAGCCGAGATTGCGCCATTGCACTCCAGCCTGGGTAACAAGAGCGAAAATCTATCTCAAAAAAAAAAGAAATTAAACTTTGACCAGTGTAATTCAAACAGTCTGTGCACTGTATACCATGTGCCTGGCAGTGTGGCCCACCTTGACAGGCCCACGTTCTGGCTGAGGAGCTGGGGTCAGGTACCTGGCAACCCCCACAGGCTAAGTTGAGAGTGAATTATAGACCCCTCTGCATTAAAAGAAGGGAGAAACCAGAAAAGGTCAGAATCACCGGAGAAGTTTCATAGAAGAAAAGGGACTGGTTTCAGTGAAGAAAGCATGCCAGGGCAGGGAGGGTGGTAAGCAGGAGGGGCATCTTCCAGAGGCTTCAGTGGGTCCTCCTCCTCCCCTGGAGGGCAGCGCCTGACCCTGCTTGTCTGGGGTCTTTGGCGGGTCCTTTTCCTCCCCTGGCTGGGCAGTGCCTGACTCTGCTCATCGGGGGCCTTGGGTGGGTCCTCCTCCTCCCCTGGCAGGGCAGAGCCTGACTCTGCTCATCCGGGGTCTTTGGCGGGTCCTTTTCCTCCCCTGGCAGGGCAGCGCCTGACCCTGCTCATCTGGGGTCTTTGGTGGGTCCTTTTCCTCCCCTGGCCAAGCAGCATCTAACCTTGCTCATCGGGGGCCTTGGGTGGGTCCTCCTCCTTCCCTGGCAGGGCAGAGCCTGACTCTGCTCATCCGGGGTCTTTGGCAGGTCCTTTTCCTCCCCTGGCTGGGCAGTGCCTGACCCTGCTCATTCAGGCCCACCCCCGCCTCCACCTCCACTTCAGCCATGCCTGGGCTCCTGAGTGGAGGAGAGTTAGGGACTGAGTGCAAAGGATTTCAGACTATCAGTGTACAGCAGGGCCCGGGGGACTGACAGGAGAGAGGCAGCTGTTACAATGATCTAGAGCCAGGATGCATCACAGCCAGGACCTACTTACAATCCGGACAGATGGGGACAAAGGACGCAGGCATTTTACCAGAAGAAGGTGGACCAGGCAGGGCGTGTGGAAAGAAAAGCCATACTGGCCAGTTCTGGACCCTAGCAAGGGATGTGCTGCAGGAAGCAGGCCAGGGAAGGGAAGAGGGCCAAGTCTTGAGAGGTGTGATGCATGTATTCAGTGTACAGATCTGGGAGGAAATGCATTTATTCACACACTGTTCCTTAAACAAGCGCCCCCAAACGTAATATCCATTTGGATGAGCCCAAAGTCTCAGATTCCACAGAATACCCCTGGCACCTGCTCCTCAGCATCCTTTCCCCACTGGGCCCCAGGCTCAGGTGAAGGTCTGCCACACTGCCACTGCCGCAGCCAGGCCTCAGCTCACCCTGACCCCCAACCCTCGCTCCCCACTCAGCCACGAGTTATTTCCAGGAGGGCCCCCCAGAGCCCCATGGCCACCCCCCAGGCTGGCCATAGCCCTTATCACTCACCTTGATTTTTGCTCTGATTAGTAAAGCAACACTTGTTAACTCTAGACATCACTAAGATACAAAAATAAGTAAAAAGCAAGACCACAATCTATGATTTTAGGTCCTAAATATAATCACTAGTATTTTAAGTATGTAGTCTTTCATATAAATGTGAAAAAAAAAACAGGTACACACTTAGTAAGCTGGGGTCATACTACTGCTTTACAGCCCACTGTTCCACAGCAGGCTTCTCTGTTCTGTGCAAACAGGCTGCCCGATAGCCAGAAGACTACAGAGCTCTCACCTCACTGAGACGGTCACTGTCTTGCTGCTGATAATTACCCTGGTTGTTCCTTTTCACACGTGTGAAGGACACTTCAGCTGAGTGTGCCTGTGTCCCACCCCAGGCTCCCGCCTCTGCTTATATTCTTGAGACAAATTTAAATAGAGCCAGCTATTTACATTTACATAGAGGGTCAGCCACATTTTACAAGTGGCTTCTGCTCATCCCACGCCTGAGGAGTGAGAGGAGCCTGTTTCACCACATCGCCATTAAAAGCAGAAGAGCAGCTGCTTTGACATGAGTAAAATGGTACTCCTGACTGAGCCCGCCCATCAATCAGTGGGAGCTCCTGGCCCCTTAAGGGAGCTCGTTATAAATTACGGGAACAGTCTGATTTTCCAACAAGCTTCATTTCCCAAATGCTAGGAAACATCCATGTCATCCTTATCACCAATTACACCCTGACCAGGAAAACAGAACCTGGTAACCGTGCGCTGTCACTAACTTAGAAACCGATTCACACTCATCTGTCTGTCCCGTCACACGCCCTGGAGGTTTTATTTTGAATTTAACAAAAATCTTACTTGCAAGTGATTTCTGTCCTAAACGTGAAACATAAAAAGTGCAAACAATGAGGCTGGTTGACGTTTTCTTAGTCAACACTCCAGTAGCTGTTAATACAATCACAACTCACAGACACCAAACTCCAGGGCTCTGAAGACTGGCATGGTCTTCTCAGGTGATAAAAGATTAAAGCAGGGGCTGGGCGTGGCGGCTCACGCCTGTAATCCCAGCATTTTGGGAGGCTGAGGAGGGTGGATCATGAGGTCCGGAGATCAAGACTATCCTGGCTAACATGGTGAAACCCCGTCTCTACTAAAAATAAAATAATTAGCTGGGTGTGGTGGCGTGCACCTGTAATCCCAGCTACTCAGGAGGCTGAGGCAGAAGAATTGCTTGAACCCGGGAGGAGGACGCTGCAGTGAGCCGAGATCGCACCATTGCACTCCAGCCTGGGTAACAGAGCGAGACTCCATCTCAAAAAAAAAAAAAAACAAGATGAAAGTGGATCTAGGAGCACCCGTGACACCCACACACTTACTTGGAAATGTCCTTGCTGTCCTGCTGCCAGGGAAACCGCACACTCCCGATGGCTGCCCGGTAGCAGTAGACGCCCAGCAGCCCCAGTGCCAGGGCAGCCTTGGACACAGGGGAACACCCCCTCTGCACCAACACAAAAACTACGAGGAGGGAGACGGCAGCCAGGACAGAGAGCTCGGCTTTGTGATCAGAGCTGAAATGAAATGGAAAATGCCAACATTACCACCAAACAGCAATGAGATCAATCTACACCCAGTGGCTTCCAAAGAACTGTATTAAAAATAGCTGATTTTCCCAAAAACCAAAAATTAAATGAAATCATCCATTTTTGTTTTCAAAGGTTCTTTGTTTTTTTTTGAGATGGAATTTAATGGCATGATCTCGGCTCACTGCAACCTCTGCCTCCCGGGTTCAAGCGATTCTCCTGCTTCAGCCTCTTGAATAGCTTGGATTACAGGCGGCCGCCGCCACCATGCCCAGCTAATTTATTTTAATTTTAGTGGAGATGGGGTTTCACTCTGTTGGCCAGGCTGTTCTAGAACTCCTGACCTTGTGATCCACCTGCCTCGGCCTCCCAAAGTGCTGGGATTACAGGCATGAGCCACCACACCCAGCCACAAAGGTTCTTAAAATATAACAAATAAAAGATGGTCAACCTCAGTGGGGTGTGGTGGCTCACACCTGCAATCCCAGCACTTTAGGATGCCGGGGTGGGAAGATCACTTGAGGCCAGGAATTTGAGACCAGCCTGAGCCACATGGTGAGACCTCATATTAAAAAAAAAAAAAAAAAAAGACAGTCAACTTGAACTCTCATCACAAATGGGTCTGCCATCATCAGATCCAGATGCCCAGAGGCCAGGCAGTGACAGACTGAAAAAGCCTTCTGTCTCCTGGTACCCTCTCCGGGGGCAGCCCTGCCTCTACCAGCATGCAGCCGGCGCATGTCCTCTCTCCCACCTTCTCCCATTAACTCAGTAATGCACAGTCCAACCCTAACCCACCCGGCCTCTCACAGGGTTTGCTGTCATGCCCTCCTGGGTGAGGAGATGGTGCAGAGGTTGACAGCCCTCCAGAGGGCAGAGACTGAAGCCCTGACTGCGTCCTGGTAGTGCAGCACCAGCCAGCCCTGGCCTGAGTGTGAGGGCGGGGAAAGCCAGGCTCCCTTTGGTTTCATTCACTGCGACCCCCACTTCAAAGCCTCCCAGGATGGGAGGGGGAGACTGGGGCCACACAGGGTCCTGAGCCTCACCCGGGAGGGGGCACCTGGGTGTTTGTATATTGTTGCTTTTGAGATGGCACGTGTTTTTACACAATCCTCTGGATTTTTATAATAATAAGGTAGAACAATTATAACCATGTAATTGTTACTGACATAGAAGTTACATGAATGTGGGCTGTCCCAAAATACTGTAATATTTTCAGAGGATGGTTGATCTCGGGTAAGCAAAACTGTAGGTAAGGCGGGGCTCCTGCATCTAGGGTGGAAAGCCAGCCAATCCTCTCCTAATGCTTTAGTTTTCCAGAAAAGAAAGAAATGAGGTGTCAACAGTGCTATTTTGGGACACGGAGCTCCGTGACACCCCCGGCTGTGCTGCATGCCGAGCTGTGTCTGCGATGCTGGCATGCCCAGCACAACCTCCCACCAGCCTGTTCCCCTCCACTTCCTCACCTCTGGAGCAGGGACCCATCAAAGTCCTCTCTCCAGGGTTGCTCTGAAAAGGAGACGTGTGGGCACGCAGCAGGCAGACACCTGACGGATGTGACCAGTGACGACCTGGGTTACCAAGGCTTTAGTAATTTAGCCAATGCTTACCCTCCCACAAGAATGACTTAATTAGAAGGACCTGTAATTTCGCAGCTTCTGATGTAAATGTACGAGTATCTTCCGAAAGAACTGTGCCGCTAATGTGGGCCCAGGAGTCCTCCCGTGCTCACCAAGACTGAGTCTCATCATTCAGTTCCGTTTCTCCGCCTCAACAGGTATGAAGTCCCACCCTGTCCCTCAACTGAAGCTCTTCTCTTTTCCTTCTTACAGGAGTCTCTGCAGTGATGAGACCGCACCCTTGTCTGTTACTCGCCGCAGATACTGTTTCATTTTGCTGTTCTTCTATTACTTCAGTTTTCCTAAGTCTTCACTGCCAGACAATTAAAATGTAAAGCCGAGGCAAATCTTATTTTCCTGTCCTAGTTTCTTCTACTTATTTCAAGCCTTGCTTGAAATGATTTGCCGTACTTTCCTGGCGGGTTTCCAGTTATCAGTGAAAGGCTCAGGAGGTGGCTGAAGATTCCCCCACACAGCTCTGTCCCTTCAGGATGAGGAGAGAGAAAAGGGAGGGTGGAGAGGAGAACAGAGGGGAGCTAAGGGCAAAACTGGCCCACAGAGGCTGAGCCCACCTCGCCTGGCTGACCCTCTTTCCGGCTGCCTGGGGAGCATCAGCAGTGGGGTATGGCTCTGGGGAAGTGACACGGTTGAGTGTCTGCCTGCCGCAAATCTCACTGTGAATTTGGACCTCCAGGCCAGGTACGGTGGCTCACACCTATAATCCCAGCACTTTGAGAGGCCAAGGTGGGTGGATCACTTGAGGTCAGGAGTTTGAGACTAGCCCAGTCAACATGGTGACACCCCATCTCCACTAAAAACACAAAAATTAGCCAGGCACAGAGGTGGGCGCCTGTAGTCCCAGCTACTTGGGAGGCTGAGGCAGAAGAACCGCTTGAACCTGGGAGGGCAGAGGTTGGCTACAGTGAGCAGAGATCGTGCCACTGCACTCTATCCTGGGCGACACAGTGAAACTCTTGTTTCACAAAACAAAAAGAAATTAGACTGCCAGTGTTGGAGGTGAGCCGGTCATGGGGGCAGATCCCTCATAAATGGCTTGGTGCCAAGTTCGCGGTAATCAGTGCCTTCTCGCTCTGGTAGTTTATGACAGAGTTGGTGTCTAACAGCGCCTGACACCTCCCCCAACCCTCCCTTGCTCCTGCCCTGACTACGATGTGCTGGTTCCCGCTCTGCCCTCCGCCATGACTCAGTTTCCTTAGGCCTCTCCAGGAGCAGATGCCGACGCCATGCCTCCTGTAGAGCTGAGAGCCAAAGTGAACCTCTTTTCCTCATAAATGACCCAGGTACTTGTTTGTAGCAATGCAGGGACGTCCTGACACAGGGAGACGCTGAGTGATAGGCGGGAGCATGGTGCGCGGGGGCACAGAGCCTGGGCACGGATGGGGCGTCCAGAGCAAGCCTGACCCCCAAATGATAGATTTACTATATAATGATCATTGAAACGTTTACAGGTTTCAATCATGAACAGTTACAGTGGTTCAGCACTAATAAATCACACCTATTAGGCCATCCCCCAAGTAAATTCTCCTTTCAATACTGATTCGTGGATTTTAGTATATTTTCCCATTTCTTCAGAGCTCAAATACTATCCCATTCTTAATATGAAAAATGGCCTCAATTTAGAAAAAGAAGAGCTTGGCAGGTGACCAGTCAGCTGCAGAAAGTCTGGCCCGTGGCCCTGGGCCCTTGCTCTCACCTGGTGAGCCAGTGGCCAAGGTCGGGCCGGTGGGCCCACTGCACACCTGTCTGGTTTAGGGAGCGCAGCAGCCGGCAGCAGGCCAGTATGAGCCACGGGCTGGCCAGGACCATCCACTTCTCGCTGCCGTGGAGCACTTCGGAGGGAGGGGGGCTGCCATGGCCTTTGCCTCGCTCCAGCACGTCACAGCCAGGCCCACCCTGCCATGCTGTTGCCACCCCGTCAAGCCCTTGTTCCACATGGAGGCCACACTGAGGCTCGCTGTCATCTCCCAGAAAGTAGTTTCTGTAGGTTTCTTGGCTCAGGGCTAGACACAGGGTATTTACAAGGAAGTACCAGGTCTGGTGCTCCTCCTCCACGAAGCTGCTGGCACCCAGGCTCAAGACGTGGCCCACCGTCCCTAACAGAATAAGAAGATCTAGCTCTGACCACCTTGAGCTGGGATGAACCGGGTTCTGTAAAAGGGAAAGTGTGTTTTGTAAGAGACGGTCTGACAATTACACACATATTGCTGCATGTAAAGTCTCTGCTCACAGCAGAGGATGCCCTGGACACACCTGCTGTTCCTCACACCCAATACCCAGGCCCCTACCCTGGAACAGCACCTTCTGCTCCAGTGGCACAGACCCTCCTTTTGGGACACAGCCTGGGGACAGCCTCTCTGCCCAGAACACAGCCTGCAGGAGCTGAGATGCCCTCGCCGCAGACAAGTGAACGCGGACACAGCATGGTCAGCCAGCTGTTCTCACACTGGACTGCAAATCCCAAGCTAAGTGACAAAGACTGAAAAGGGTCTGAACCCTCTGGGCAGTGATGGAGCCCAAAGAGCTTTCCCAGAGGCTCCTGGCCCTGGCCCTCCACACTCCCGCTTCTATGATCTCAAAGAGCCTAGGTCTTCAGATGGGTGTCGCCAGTTCCTGCTTCTTGAAACTGAAGAACCCCAAGAATACATCCCACCAAACCAGACCTCAAATTTCTCCATGAATATTCCAGAAATCCAGAAAGTTTCCACTAAAACGGTTAATTCTATTGAAATGACTAAGTTGGCAGCACTATCCCTTAAATATACTAACTTAAAGCGGTCAATATTAAAGAAGAGGACTCAATTATTGACATTTATTCTTTCAATAACTATCTGGTGCATGCAGCTGGGTACTAATTCAATAGCGGGAGAGAGAGCATGAGCCCAGACAGGTCCGAGGTGCAAATGCAGGCACAGACCATCCTGGCTCCGAGGGAGTCTGTGGCCTAATGTGAGGGTCTCGGCCAGACACAGCACAGGGCCTCTGACTGCTGAAGGTGAGCGGGGATGGGGCTGCCCATGGTCGGAGTTGGTCAGACACTCAGCACGGGCCTCTGACGGTGGCTCAAGACAAGAGGGGATGGGGGCTGTGCAGGCTCAGAGTTGGTCAGACACTCAGCATGGGCCTCTGACAGCTCAAGGCGAGCAGGGATGGGGGCTGCGCAGGCTCGGAGTTGGTCAGACACTCAGCACGGGCCTCTGACAGCTCAAGGCAAGAGGGGATGGGGGCTGCCCACGGTTGGAGTTGGTCAGACACTCAGCACGGGCCTCTGACAGTGGCTCAAGACAAGAGGGGATGGGGGCTGCGCAGGGTTGCAGTGGGGCTCACAGGCCTGCTGCCACTGCCGTGGGTCCCTGGATCCTGGGCACTGTGGATCTGTGTGCTACCACCCACATCTTCCTCAGTGCCTCGCCATTACTCCCCAGCTAATGAATGAAGATGTCCCAGGCCAAACACTAAGAATTCCAAGAGAAAACGTCAGCCTTGGAAAGAATCTGGACTTGATGAGGCAGGATGGACTCTGCAGACGGCAGGACGAATGGGGCGACCAAGTCTCCTTTTGGACCCTCCTGGGTGTCCAGGCCGACTGTCTCTTCTTCCCGGGGCTGCAGCTCCCACACCTCTGCTGGGAAGCTGTCTGATTCACACATCCCCTCAATGGGGGGGGTCTCATTCCTCTGTGCCTGGCAGCTCTTCCCAATCACCTTTGCAACAGTTGCAGGAACCTCTCCTTCCAGCCAAGAATGAAGTCGTCTGCCCCAACGGCACAGATCTGAATGACACCCAGAGGCCTGGGATAAGCTGCCCCAAGTCCTCCCTGCCAACCCTTTCGAGGGCACTGCCAGCACTTGGCACACACCAGGTGTTCAACCAATGTCTGGTAAATGAAAGGCAGCCTGAAGTAACAAGAACAGCCTGAGCAGAAGGACCATGTCACATTCCCGGGAACCAACTGTACATACCTTCCTTCGGGGTTTTCCACCCACGAGCACGTTGGTCAGAACGGACACAATCACACAGAGCAGCGCCGAGGCCAGCACCATCACCCCACCTGCCGCCAGCCACGAGAGGCCACAGAAGTAGCACGAGCTCTCAGCTGAGGTGCACACAATGACGTGAACGGCCGAAAGAACCAGGATCACCAAATAAAAGAGCAGAGAAAATCCAGGAGATGACAGTGGGACTTCCAGCTCAGCCTTTCTGTGCAGTGCCTGAGGGACACTGAGCAGCAGCAGGGTGAGAACCTGGAACAGAGAAGCGGCAGCAGCGTCCACAGACTGCTGGGTTTGGAGAAACCCGCTTAAAAATAAGCCCAGCTCCTGCTCTCGTGTCAGCTGTCCACACAGTAAAATCAGAAAACAAACTCAGGAAAAGATTACTCCTAATTAACTGCCCCAAAACGCAGGGCGTGAATTTTTTTACCGCCTGTAGCAATACTGAGTGAGGCCAACTGACACCTGACAACACTGTCTTATCACGAATCGGGACACGCCGTGAAAGAGTTAAACAAGACAGCCGACATTTTCCCATTGTTAGTAACACAAATCTCTATCTTTAAAACTGTAACTATTTGGCTGAGTTATCAAACTAATGCAACACCTGAGCCATGACCGTGTGAGTATCTGTACCTCCAAGACCACGACAGTCCCCACCATCATCGAGTACATGTCGTACTGAGCCACCTGCGTGCTCAGGGACAAGCTCAGCGTCTTCAGGGCATCCAGGTATTGCCTGAGAACCTTGGAGCCCAGGTTCAACAGGACTTCTGATTGCTTCTCCTCCAAGTACAGTCTGATCCAGTTCCCATGCAATCTTTCTGACATTTTAAACTGCTCAAATCCAGGATCTATTAAGAAGACAGAAAGGTTACATGTGCACACACACCGCGGACATATACATACACACATAATCTCAAAGTATTCATTTATTCACGGCACATGGCAAAGTCTTCACTTTTTAGACCTGACACTTAATGATGATGAACCATTCCTTCGGGTGGGGGGTGCGCAACGCCCCCCGTAAAGCCGGGGAAGCTGCCAGTGTGCATCCATCCACCCTCAGTCCTTGGCACACACCCCACAGACGACAGAGACCACCCCGTGCTGCCTGGTCTCGCTGCTCTTACTTCTTCCTCCGTTCTCTCTTTCCACTCTCTCCCTTTTGTCAACATGCAATATAAAAAGAATTCTGAAATGCATTATGTGAACAGTCAAGTTTTGTAGACTCTTTCCAACCCTTGCAGCACTGTCTGGGCCCTGGGCAGGCAGTGGCCTGACCCCTTTCCGCCACATGCACTTCTCCAGTGCAGACTGCCCTTCCTGCGCTCTAACATCCCCCGTTCTGCAGCCTGGGCCCTTCCTCATGTCCTCTTTGGAAAGGGAGAGCAGTTTCCAGCCCTCTCTGCTCAAAAGGGCGAGCTTTGCTGGGAGCATGGACACCCTGCCTCTGGATGGAGCCCTGCCCCCTGCTATGGCACTCGCTTTTAGACCACAGTGCCATGCTGCTCACGGGCACAGCTGTTGTCCTTCCTTTCCAAAGTGGCTGATGCGTGAGGCTCTGCCTGGACCACACCCTCTTGTGATTAGACGGGTCTGCAAAGTAAGAACTTGCTTCTCGAGACCCCCGGGGTTTGATATGCACTTCCTGTTCCAGAAGAGCCATGCCAAGGAGGGTCTCAGCTGTGCCTTTTGGCAGGCTCACCCCACCCTGAGGCTCTGCATGCCCCAGGCCTGCGGTCATCACAGCAAAGAGCTCCACAGGAGCTTGAGGCACTGAGGTCCAGGTCGCTGTGACACCAGGTCCCTGAGTGTGAACCTATACACCTGCAGGCCCACCCCACTGCTGCCAGCACCAGGTCACTAAGCGTGAACCCATACGCCTGCAGACCCACCCCACTGCTGCCAAGGTCACTAAGTGTGAACCCATACGCCTGCAGACCCACCCCACTGCTGCCAAGGTTACTAAGCGTGAACCCATACGCCTGCAGACCCACCCCACTGCTGCCGGCACCAAGTCCCTGAGCATGAACTCATTCACCTGCAGACCCATCCCACTGCTGCCGGCACCAGGTCACTAAGTGTGAACCATACACCTGCAGACCCACCCCACTGCTGCCGGCACCAAGTCCCTGAGCATGAACTCATTCACTTGCAGACCCACCCCACTGCTGCCAGCACCAGGTCACTAAGCGTGAACCCACATGCCTGCAGGCCCACCCCACTGCTGCTGGCACCCGGTGAACCTGCACCAGGTGCCAGTGGCCAGCACATTCTACAGGGCTCACTCGTTTCACCTCCCTAGCGACCCTATGAGGCAGGGATGAGCATCATAACTGTTCTCCAGAGGAGGCAACTGAGTCACAGAGCCAGTGAGTAACAGCTGCAAACGAGGCTCAGGCAGTCTGGTTCCAGGGCTAGCACCCTTCACTGCTACAGCCACCACCCTGGAGTGGGGGACGCCTGGGTCCACACCCCCCCACCCCAGAGTTACAGAGACAAGGGTACTTGTGTCTACACCCCACTGCCTCTCTATCAGGAAGTTGCAGAGCTATGGGGGGGTGCATCTGTGCATGCAGTGAAGCAAATATCCACAGAGCATGGACTATGTGCCAGGCACTGTGCCAGGCACTGTGCCAAGGGAAAGACACACCATGGCGAGCAAGCGGGCGCAAGCCCTGCCTGATGGGGCCTGGAGCCAGCAGGACTCACGGGCACGCATGCACACACACATGTAGTTACTGTGACTGCATTACGTCTGTAATTAGAAGTTTCCTATGAAGGGAAAGTAGAGGGAACCAGTCAGGGATTTTTGGTAATGGGGAGGAACCGATGTTAGATTGGGAGTGGGCCCGTAAACATCAGGAAGGTCTCAATTAAGCTGAAATGTAAAGGGTGCCCAGGAATTCACCAGGCAAACTACTGGAGGAAGAGCATCGAGTTGATGGGAACAGCATGTGCAAAAGTCCAGAGGCAAGAAAAAGCAGGTCCCACTACACAGAGAGCTGGGTGGGCACGACACCTCCCATAGACTAGATGCCCCCAAAGGGCTGCAGGGCCTGGTTGTGACACCCCCCATGGACTGGACACACCCAAAGGGCTATGGCGCCTCCCATGGACTGGACATCACCTAAGGGCTGCAGGGCCTGGCTGTGGCACCTCCAATGGACTGGACGCCCCCGAAGGGCTGTGGCTGTGACACCTCCCACGGACTGGACACCCCCGAAGGGCTGTGGTTGTGACACCCCCCCATGAACTGGACACACCCAAAGGGCTGTGGCTGTGGCACCTCCCATGGACTGGACACACCCGAAGGGCTGCGGCTGTGGCGCCTCCCACGGACTGGACACCCCCGAAGGGCTGTGGCGCCTCCCATGGACTGGACGCCCCCAAAGGGCTGTGGCTGTGGCACCTCCAATGGACTGGACGCCCCCAAAGGGCTATAGGGCCTGGCTGTGGGTTCTAAAATGTATTTCAGTGTCAGAACATGTACCCCATTTTGTTTTAGGAAATGTGACTCCCAATGGTGTAGACAATGAGCCGCCAAGGGGGTACAGATGCGGCAGCTGTGCTTTCAGTCAAGGGAGGCACCGACACTGGCTCCTCCCACATCCTCTGCAGCTCTCAACTCCCCCCAGCCGCTACTTCTGAAACAGGCAAATAATCCTTCCACTGGTGTTTTGGTTTTGTTGGTGTTTTTGCTGCTCTTAGCATAGAAAAAAGGACACGAGCACAAAACCATCAATGTGAAAGCTACCAAACTCATACTATTTTAGGAAAAAACAGAAGTACAAGTCACTGTCATCCCTGGTCTTGACTAAATGTCTATACGGCCAGGCCTCACAGCTCCCAAAGTCCCGCACCTGGCCACCTCATGGGGTGAGAGCTGGTGCTCGGTCGGGCCTCTCGCCACCCGCCAGGTCTGCTTCCCAGCCACTCCTTGGCTGGCAGGGGTTGTCTTCCACAAGTGCCTCTAGGAGGCTGGTTTACGTCTCAGCGAAAACTTGTGGGTGTTCACTCTGTTTGGTAGTAATAACATCCTGCTACTTCAAGCAGGGAAATCTGCCAACACCACATTAACTGCTGCCTCAGAATAGGAGTCGACTTCTCCAGGCTCTCAAAGGAGTCCCTGTGCCAAACGTTCTTCTCTGATGAACGTGGCTGTGTCAGAGTCGACTACCTGAAGACGTCCCAGGTAGACAAACGTTCCTCTCCTGGACCCTTCCTGTCAGCTTGCACCTGTCCCCGGCACCTCTCTTGGCCCCACACCCACCTCAGACGACTCCACCTCCAACTCCCATTAGAGTTGCTGTGTCTGCTGCTTACGGCTCTTGCCCGCCCCAGCACCAGCCAGGCCCTCCCCCACTCTCCATCTGACAAAGCCACTCATCACCCCACATGGCCAGATCCAAAGCTCGGTTCTCCATTCCTGATTTCAATCAATAATACCAGCCTTTGAGGCAGCTGCCCACACCCTGCTTCCTGAAATGACTTCTTTACATGCTTCCTGGACACCAACACTCCCACCCACGAGCACCTGCCTTGCAGACCTGGTCCTTCTAAGTCATGCCCTCCCGAGGAAATGACTACTCTGTTCTTTCGCTTTCAGCTGAAATCCCTGGAGTCCTACTTAACGCCTCTGCTCTGCTCATACCTAATATCTCAGCACAGGAGCAAGTCCTGTCTTCATGATCTTCAAAATATATCCAGAATGCAACCACCTCTCCACCACCCCTGCCTGAGCCCTGGCCACCCTCACCTCTCACAGAAGTACAGCCACTGCCTCCTGACTAGTCTCCTCTGACAGCACAAAGCAGAATCCTCCATGAGGATACCCGAGACAGCCTTTGAAAATGCAAGTGGAAGACTCCTGGCTCTCACCAAACCCTGCAGTAGCTCCCGTTTCACTCAGAAGGAAGGCGAAAGCCCCTCCAGTGCCTAAAGGCCCTCATATCCCACATCGGCCCCTGCTCTGACCGTTCCCTGAACGTGCGCCCATAGAGGACCCTGTCTGCTGATCCCACAGCCTGTAATGCGCCCTCCCAGATGGCCAGTGGCTCCCACCTGCTTCACTTCCCACCCCAGGCCTGGTGACTCTTTTCCTAAGTTACTCATCGCCACTGGGCATCTGTCACTGTTCCTTTTCTCTCCTTCCACTAGAAGGTTCAAAGAGGGCGGAGCCTCATACTGCTCAATGCTCTGTCTCCAGTGCCTGAAACAGCCCCTCATTCATAACAAGGTCTCGGTAAACAGTTGTTGAATGAATAAATTTATGAAAGAACTTTAATGAGATAACCGCATCTGAGGGTGTTGCCAGTGGTGATGGTTAGAAGTTCTAAAAAAACAGGAACATAATCTGTATAATCCAAGAGTGGTGACGGCAAAATATTCCTGCGCCAAACTGCATACCACAGAAACACACACACATTTCTGACAGTTTTAGAAACGGGCTGCTGACTGACCTTTTTCATATGACGGGACATTCTCTTGCAACAGTTTGCTAAGCTGCACCGTATTCAGATGTAAAAATCTCAACTGCTCTCTCATGGGTTTTCCTTCCACGACTGGGAACAGAAGGCTCCCCACGCTGTCTTTTGGAATCGGCAAGCCAAGTGCTATTGCCAGTGTTGCAGCCACATCCGTCTGCTGGACACGCGTTGGATGTCGGACATCACCTACGAAAAAGAAAATATTTTAAGTAACAGACTTCGAGAAAGTGTAAGACGGCAGTCATTCTTTTTTTTTTTGAGACGGAGTTTCGCTCTTGTTACCCAGGCTGGAGTGCAATGGCGCGATCTCGGCTCACCGCAACCTCCACCTCCTGGGTTCAGGCAATTCTCCTGCCTCAGCCTCCTGAGTAGCTGGGATTACAGGCATGTGCCACCGTGCCCAGCTAATTTTTTGTATTTTTAGTAGAGACAGGGTTTCACCATGCTGACCAGGATGGTCTCGATCTCTTGACCTCATGATCCACCCGCCTCGGCCTCCCAAAGTGCTGGGATTACAGGCGTGAGCCACCGCGCCCGGCCCGGTAGTCATTCTTGAATCAGACCTTCTGTAACTAGCACAGCCAAATGATTCGTCTCTTCAGGCCATTCAACACGGAATCGTAGAGGAATCACCTCGCTGCTCGCTGTATGGATGCTGAACCCATTCCACACCAGGGACAGTGTCTTCCCTTCAGAAGCCTGTAGTACGCTGGGAGACTCACGTGAGGAGTTCCACACAGTGAGTGCTATGGAGCACAGGCTGAACACAGAGGAAGCAGGTGATCCAGCAGACACAGAGGGACCGTCACTTTGACAAGGTCAACAGCCAACCAGAGAATGAAGTGAGGGAGGGAGGGATCACTGACAGCCCTGCCCCTCTGGACTTGGCGCATCCATGCTCTGCCCTCTATGAGCACACACGCTTATGGAGAAAATGAACCCTTCACAGCTCCTGAGAAGTTGTGGGAGCTCCTAAAGGGGAGGGCGGAATGAGGCGGGTTCAGCTGGCCCAGGTGCTCTAATCAGCCTGGACGAGCTAGACATCTGCCTACCGGCTAAAGCTCTTCAAGCCACAACAGTAGTGGCCATCCTACTACTTCCTTGCAAGGAGAATGGCTGTGAAGTCAGCTCAACGGGCCCGGGCCACTGCTCTGTTACCCTCCACTACGATTTCGGAGGAGAAAATCAACCTGGCCGGAGTGTTTTCATCTGTAAAGACAGGAAACAGCTCCACACCACAGAAGGTCAACACACTCCTGCAGGGCACTGGGAGGGCCCAGGACAGCTGCTCAGGACAGGTGGTGCACGAGGAGGTGAGTCTGCAGAGGTTGTACTTTGTGGTCATTTTTTGTCGTAGGGGATTTTTCTTTTTAATTTGGTCAAATTTATTAATCAGGTCTCGGGCAACTCTCTAACGATGGCTTCCTGGTCATGCTCAGAAGGAACCTTCCACTCCACTGTGGCCGTTTTCTTCTAGTACTTCTTTCTTCTAGTATTTTCTGAACTTAAGCGCTTTGAGCTGACACAAAAAGTAAAACACAAAAACAAAAACAAATCCACCTTAAATTGCTTTTGACCCTCATACTGGTAGTGGCAGTGCTGGCAATTATCATTCTGAGACTATTGTGTGTCTACTGGGGATAAAGCAAGTGAGTCATTATGTGAGATTCTATCACATCTGGAGTTGTTGACAACTAAGATTCTAAAGTTAGGAAGAAGAAAGTACAGATGTAAGACCTAAGAAATTAATTTCACAGTTTTGAAGGTGAACTGGAAATACTGATATAAACACAAGATCATTTTATCCTAAAAAAAATTTCTTCTTTGTGTCTAGAAACAATGACCAACCCAGTATCAGTGAGCACCTCTAGCTCTGAGACAGTGGTCTTGAAATACCGCGCTTTCCACCAAAAAGAAGTAGGGCATCTTGGAGAAACAGCTGATTGTAGGTCTCAAGAAGGAAATGTCCAACAAGTAAACTGCAGTCAAATAAGAGTTTTGGGGTGGGGCACTATAGATTAACACAGACTTAAGAGACACATAAACAAGTCACAAAGCATAGATCTTATTTGTACCCTGATTCAAACAAACTAAACAGCTAAAGAGAGGGAGAGACAGACACTGGAGATATGAACATTATTTGATGATATTAAGGAATTAACACAATTTAAAAATGCGACAAGGGTATCAAGATTATGGGGATAAAGAGCACCTATCTTTAGAGACCTGCTTCTAAAAAATGAAGGAAAAGGGAAATGAGTGTGGGCACAGATGAAAGAAGATTTGCTTTAACTGGCCAGTAAGTGGTGAAGCTGGACTTCAGGGTTTATTACACGACTCTGACTACTGCTCTGTGTCTAAAATTTTCCATACCTGAGTATCGTAAAGACATGAACATGCTTTGATCTGGAAGGACATGGCTGTAAAGAGTAAGGCAGAGAGTCGGCTGAGTATCGTAAAGACATGAACATGCTTTGATCTGGAAGGACACGGCTGTAAAGAGTAAGGCAGAGAGTCGGCTGAGTATATTAAAGACATGAACATGCTTTGATCTGGAAGGACATGGCTGTAAAGAGTAAGGCAGAGAGTCGGCTGAGTATCGTAAAGACATGAACATGCTTTGATCTGGAAGGACATGGCTGTAAAGAGTAAGGCAGAGAGTCGGCTGAGTATCGTAAAGACATGAACATGCTTTGATCTGGAAGGACATTGCTGTAAAGAGTAAGGCAGAGAGTCGGCTGAGTATCGTAAAGACATGAACATGTTTTGATCTGGAAGGACACGGCTGTAAAGAGTAAGGCAGAGAGTCGGCTGAGTATCGTAAAGACATGAACATGTTTTCATCTGGATGGACACGGCTGTAAAGAGTAAGGCAGAGAGTCGGCTGAGTATCGTAAAGACATGAACATGCTTTCATCTGGATGGACATGGCTGTAAAGAGTAAGGCAGAGAGTCGGCTGAGTATCGTAAAGACATGAACATGCTTTCATCTGGAAGGACATGGCTGTAAAGAGTAAGGCAGAGAGTCGGCTGAGTATCGTAAAGACATGAACATGCTTTGATCTGGATGGACACGGCTGTAAAGAGTAAGGCAGAGAGTCGGCTGAGTATCGTAAAGACATGAACATGCTTTGATCTGGAAGGACATTGCTGTAAAGAGTAAGGCAGAGAGTCGGCTGAGTATCGTAAAGACATGAACATGTTTTCATCTGGATGGACACGGCTGTAAAGAGTAAGGCAGAGAGTCGGCTGAGTATCGTAAAGACATGAACATGTTTTGATCTGGATGGACACGGCTGTAAAGAGTAAGGCAGAGAGTCGGCTGAGTATCGTAAAGACATGAACATGTTTTCATCTGGATGGACATGGCTGTAAAGAGTAAGGCAGAGAGTCGGCATTACCTTTTTCCGGAAGGTCAGCGGGGGTACTGCCATCATTAATCAAACACCATGTCTTTTCTGCACTCATCTGAGATGCCACCTTTATCACCAAATCCCCAATACACTAAGGTCTATTTTTGGCCTCTTGATTTGCTTCTTTGATTGGTTTGTGACCTTGCCTGCACGTACTATTTTAATAACTGTAATTCTGAAACACAAACACAGGGTAGGCCACATGATAGAGTGGACTGTGCCCCACAGACGATGAGGGGCTATGAAAGAAGCTCCAGCACTTCAGAAAACCATTCCCACAGGCCAGCAGCAACTTCACCCCGTCTCCACCTCCACTGGCTCAGCTGCAGAATCTAAGCATTTGATCCACAAATGATAAAGCATCCACTAGGTGCCAGGCACCACTGCTGACTTGGGGGTAAAACAACAAATACAGTCAAACATTCTAGTAGCAAGAGGCCAAAATTACAACAGACCTGCTCTGCCGTTGGTGGACATCCAGGAACAGGCATGCCCTCCTTCCCAACCCCCTTGACTCTGGAGTGGCCAGACCTGTGCTGCTCACAGGGGGAGGTGAGCAATCTGGGAGTGGGCAGTAGTGGGCTGAGGGTCTCTGAAGTCACTCACTACACAATCTAAAACTGTTTATTTTCAAAATAATAGACACTTTAACATTTATTTTTATTAACATAAGAAACCTAAACAAAAATCTGCATGCTTTTTTTTTTTTCTTTGAGAAAGAGTCTTGCTCTGTTGCCCAGGCTGGTGTGTAGTGGCGCGATCTCAGCTCACTGTAATCTCCGCCTCCCAGGTTCAAGTGATTCTCCTGCCTCAGCCTCCTGAGTAGCTTGGAATACAGGTGCCCACCACAACGCCTGACTAAATTTTTGTATTTTTAGTAGAGACAGGGTTTCACCATGTTAGCCAGGATGGTCTCAATCTCCTGACCTCATGATCCGCCCACGTCGGCCTCCCAAGGTTGCTTGCATTTTTAAGATAAAAATCCTTCAGAACTATTGGGAATAGTGTTAAGAGTAGCTCCATGAACTTGCTCATCAATGAAAGAAGCATAAATGGCAAAAATGTTTAAAACCACCACTACCACCATTCACAGTCTCTGGAAATAGTCCAGAAGTACAGAACAAATGAAGAAATCTTTATTCAAGAAAATCTGCTAGGCTTTGGTAAGAAACACAGGAATCTGGAGACCTTGAGCCGTGGCCTGCTCCCTCCCTCCCTCCCCAGGGGGCAAAAACTTCCCTCTGGCGGGTGACGCCTAGAACACAGAGCTCCCTTTCCCCCAGCTCTGGATGGAGGGTTATGCGATCTCCCTCTCATCTTCCCCTGCTCATGTTTCCCTCATCAAATAGAGGATTCTCTTCAAATAGAGAATATCAATAAAGAGATAGAAAAAAAAATTTTTTTAAGCAACAAATGAAACCATGGAGTTAAAAAAATGATAACTAAATCAGAAAATTCACTAAAGGGGTTTAACAATAATAGACTTGAATTTGCAGAAGAACCAGCAATGTAAAGACAGACTAACAGAGATGATGCAATCCAGAGAATAGAGAGAAAATTTCCAAATCTGATGAAGCACATTAACCCACACACACAAGAAGCTCAATGAAGTCCAAGTTGAAAAAATACAAAATATAAATACATGATAGTAAAAATGCTAAAAGACAAAGAAATGGGAAACCCAATTAGACTAAGACTTGCCTTTTCCTTGGAAACCATGGAGGCCAGAAGGCAGTAGGACAGCATACTCAAAGTGCTGAAGGAAAAAAGTCAACCCAGTCTTACGGTCGGCAAAACCATCTTTCCAAACAGAAGACTGAATAGACATCCCAGATTTCTTCAAAACAAAAAATTCTTTGCCAGCAAATCTGCCTTACAAGAAATACTAAAAGAAATTCTTCAGGCTGAAAGCAAGTGACTCCAGATTAAATTTCAGATAAATAAAAAAGCAAAGAGCATCAGTGAAGGTAATTTTATAATTATGAAACACAGTATAAAAGCATTTCTTCTTTCCTGTCCTGATTTAAAATTATATGAATCCATATCGATATAATCAAGTCATCAATTTATAACATATGGAAAAGCAATGCATTTGACAATAACAGCACAGAGATAGCAGATGGGGGCATAGCTATACAGGAATAAGAAAACGACCCCAGATGAAAATATATATCCACGCAAAAAGCTGTACACAAATGATCACAGCATCATCGTTCATCATAGGCAAAAAGTGGAAAGAACCCAAATGTCCATCAACTGATGAACAGTAAGTCGATATGTTAAATCCATGCAATGGATTACTATGTGGTAACAAAAGAAATGAAGTCTTGGCCGGTGTGGTGGCTCACGCCTGTAATCCCAGCACTTTGGGAGGCCAAGGCAAGTGGATCACTAGGTCAGGAGATCAAGACCATCCTGGCCAACACGGTGAAACCTCATCTCTACTAAAAATTCAAAAAATTAGCCGGGCGTGGTAGTGAGCGCTTGTAGTTCCAGCTACTCAGGAGGCTGAGGCAGGAGAATCACTTGAACCTGGGAGGCAGAGGTTGCAGGGAGTGAGCCGAGATTGCAACACTGTACTCTAGCCTGGGTGACAGAGCGAGACTCTGTCTCAAAAAAAAAAAAAGAAATGCAGTCTTGATAAATGCTGTAACTATGAACCTGGAAGAACAGTATCCTACATGAAAGAAGCCAGGCACACGTGACCATACGGTTCCGTTTACACAAAACATGCAGAAGAGGCAAATCCACAGACAAAGATGGTGATTGCCCAGGGCTGGGGGAGGAAGCAAACTGGGGTGGTGACTGCAGAAGAGTACGGGGCTTCTTTCTGAGGTGAGGACAATGTTGTAAAACTGACTATGATGACAGTTGCCCAGTGCTGTGAATACATGAGGTACAGTCCCAGCTCATAAAACGAGCCTGATGAGAATATACAAAACAGAACAGAGCCCACTCTCAGGACTGAGCTGGTGACGTGAGCAGCAGCTGCCCCACCACTCCCAGCTCTGCTCAGGTCAGGCATTCATGAAGAGGCTTCATAAAAAGACAGAAGAGGTCAAGTGGAGATGCTTCCCCAACTAATTCTCACTTAAGTGAAAGGGCCATTCATTCAGCAAATACCTGTTGGCACTTGTCACGTGGCAGGCAACGTTTCCGGCTCTGGGCAAGCAGTGACGGCTCTAGGCAAAGTAGACACGGTCTGTCTTCATCCGGCTTAAAGTATAACATGGAGGCAGACATTACACGAACCCCATAAACCAACAAAATCCCACCAGTAAGTCTGCAATGATAAGCTATGCTTTATGATGAATGGGGACAGCTCGAGAGAGAAATCTGACCCGTGTGGGGCCTATCCATGGCATTTACAACCACAGAAGCAGATGAGACAATATCTCCAGGGCAAATGCAGAACCAAACAAGAAGGCAGTCCAGTAAAAAAGAGCCGGGAAAGGAAACTAGGTCAGCAAAGAGGTTAAGATAGCAAAGGAGAGAGGCAGGAGGAAAATCAGAGAGAGGTGAGGTCCCAGAAACTACGGGACAAGCAGCACTGAGGGTGCTGTGGGGCCACTGAGAGCAGCGCCTGAAAGTGTCTGCTGTGCTCGAATGCTGAGCTCACCCGGTGTGAGCTGGTGAAGTGTGGCAACAGAAGCCAGGCGCAAGTGGAAGGCAGGCCGCCGATGGGACATCAAGGCCACGAGGGCAGAGTGGGTAGCCTGGTGGCTGAATCAGGGTGCAGGTCAAAGTGGGGTGGGTGTATGTCTGGGGCGTGTCTCAATATTGAGAGATGGGGCCTCTGTCTGTCCTGCTCTGGCTGAGTCCCGTAACTCTTGTTGACATTGCAGTTCAGTATATATGGTTTTCAATAATGCAAACTTTTTTAAAAAGCCAAGGTATTCATGTTTCCTTCAGTTCATACATGCTGTCCGGATGTCTCTGAGCTACTGGCAATTTTTCTTCAACAGTTCCAGATATCCAGGCAGCAACATTCATACAACAAAATTCTGATGAAGAATATTTGTATTTTAAGGATTAGGGGACAGAATGTAAACTTCAGATCCCGAAAGCCTTTTGCCCCATCACTTTTCATTCTCGCATTGCTCAGGGGATGTCAACCTTATGGAGCTTCTAAAAAACGGGTTTTCAGCCGGGCGCAGTAGCTCACGCCTATAATCACTTTGGGAGGCTGAGGCGGGTGGATCACAAGGTCAAGAGATGGAGACCATCCTGGTCAACATGGTGAAACCCTGTCTCTACTAAAAATACAAAAATTAACTGGGCATGGTGGCGTGTGCCTGTAGTCCCAGCTACTCAGGAGGCTGAGGCAGGAGAATTGCCTGAACCCAGAAGGCAGAGGTTGCGGTGAGCCGAGATCGTGCCATTGCACTCCAGCCTGGGTCACAAGAGCGAAACTCCGTCTCAAAAAAAAGAAACAAAAAACGGATTTTCAAAATTAAAATCTACAGAAAACAAATATACGGCAGTTTCCAAATGTTGCCATTCCTAAATTCTTACCAGGTTTCCTTTCAAACGCAGAACTGATTAGAATCAGAGGTGTGTTCACTTCCTCCATGGAAGAGGCCCCGTGACTTCCTGTTTCAGACATGCCGTGGTCCCCACAAAGGACCAGCAAACTGGGCAAAGCCACCTCTCTCTCCTGTAAGGCCAAGGAAAACATTTCAACTGCGCTCAGACTGAAGAGAGCACATCATCTCGGGAAGATGACTTTAGGTTTCAGCTTTACTTGACAGAGCTTTGGCTCTTTCTCAATGAATTAGACTTTTTTTCCTATGAGCTCACAGCCAGATGGCAGGGTCACAGTCAAATAATGTCACAAATGAAGTTCACAGAATCGTACGCAGCTCATGGAACACAGCAGGTTGCATTCATGCCCTCGGATGGCAAACGGTTTGTATCAAGCTGTGAGACTCTGGACACATTATACTCTGTGCCTTAGTCGCCTCATCTGTCAAATGGAGACACAGATGGAATCTCTTTCACAGGACTGCTGTGAGAAGACAACACACAGCACAAGGCAAGAGCTCTGAGCCACATGGGGGGCACCCACCAGGCTTCTCTGCCCCTGGGGCTCCAGCCACACAGCCTTTGCTGCTCCGGGACATGCCAGGCAGGCTGTGCTCCACTTGGAACACCCCTGCAGAGCCCGCATGGTTTGCCCCTCCCTCCCTTCAAGTCTCCGCTCACCCTGCACACCTCCTCCGGGAAGACTTCTCCCAACATGCTGTTGAAAGGCCCTCCTCCTGCCCTGTGTTTCTGCAGCACCCATCACCTCCTCACATACTTATTTTCTCATGCTTCTTGTTCGTCTCTCCTGGCTAGAACGTGAGCTTCACAAGGGATTACTGACTGTTTGACTGACACATTCAAATGTGTGGACAGAAAGAGGGATACAGAAGGCATTCAGGAGATATTAGTCGAATGAATGCCTACATGGGTAGGGAAGAGCCCTGCTCTTCAGCAGGGCTGCTGGGAAGACAGAGTCAGTGCGGTGGACACTGAGATGGTGCTGCACGTGGCACGGGGCCCCTGGCTGGCAGAGTGATGGTGGATGTTCACACAGGCCCCCTGTATTCATAACAGTTATATTTATTCTAGGAAATATCCAGGCGAAACATCACCACACAACGTACAACAGAAAGCTCACCTTTGACAGCAGCGAGGTGTGGATTTTCATCAGCACGCTGTCCATCTCGCTCAGCTTGCGCCCAATCAGGGGGCTGCTGGGCCCTGAAACGTGGCCAATGTGGTCCAGCCCCAGGTAGTGGAGGATTAACATGTCCCAATCTCCTCTTTTTAATACTTTATCCAAATGCCTCGTGACATTATTATCCACCTTTGAAGGGGAAACACACGTATAAACAGCTCACCTAATTTCTCTGGATCTTCATTCCCTGGGGAAAAGGCAACAGTCATCTTAAAATCTAGGGGTTTATTCTGGTAACAGGATTTGGGGGAGGTGAAAGACAACAAAATCTCTATCATTAAAAGTAAATAAACAGGGCTGGGTGCAGTGGCTCACGCCTATAATCCCAGCACTTTGGGAGGCTGAGGCGAGTGTATCACGAGGTCAAGAGATCAAGACCATCCTGGTCAATGAGGTGAAACCCCATCTCTACTCAAAATATAAAAATTAGCTGGGCATGGTGGTGTGTGCCTGTAATCACAGCTACTCGGGAGGCTGAGGCAGGAGAATTGCTTGAACCCAGGAGGTGGAGGTTGCGGTGAGCCGAGATCGCGCCATTGCACTCCAGCCTGGGTAACAACAGTGAAACTCCGTCTCAAAAAAAAAAAAAAAAAAGTAAATAAACAGGCTGGACACAGCAATTCACACCTGTCATCTCAACACCTGAGGAGGCTGAAGCAGGAAGACTGCTTAAGGCCAAGAGTTCAGGACCAGCCTGGGCAACATAGCAAGACCCCATCTCTATAAGAAATAACTGAACATTCACATTAGATTAAACATTTGCTAGTATTGTTTTTAGATTTCTAGCTACGGATCGAATATATTATACAGATAATTTAAATGAGCAAGGGTTGTTCTGATCTGACAAAAATACTTTTCTGTGGAGTCACTGCATAACGGGCAAACTAAAGGCGAGCAAATGGGCAAGTTAAATAGATCCTAAGTTGTCCTGCGGTAGCTCAGGGTAAAGGGCAGTTCACTAAAGATAGGACGGTATCTACAGCTAAAGTAACCAGCAGGATGGTGAAGCTGAGGGCGTCTGCATGTGTCTTATGGGAGAAAGAGACACAGCATTTAATGATCACATTTACTTCTGAAAGAAACATGTCACGGAGATGAGATTAGCAGTTGATCAGCCCCAGACAGAGATGTCAGTCTGGTGAGCCCTGACCCCTCAGCTAGCTAACCTCCTTCCCACTAAAAAAAGCTCCTATGAAGAGAAGTGTTTCTAAATGATGCCACATACAGTTGGGAAAACTCGGTCATTACTGTAAAGGAACTGCTGGAAAGAGCCCTGCTTCGGAACAGGACATCAATGTAAGCAGGACTGCAGACGCTCCGTAAGACCCCGCCAGCTAGGAGGCGAGACCAGCCAGGCCCCGCCAGGCAGATGTGCTGGTGTGCTCCAGGGTCTGCTTTCTAACAGGCCGGTCTAATCTCTGTTGGAAAAGCCGCTCAGGACCAGGCCCCACCCAGTCCACCACCTGCCCTCAGGGCACGATGAGGCTCTCCTTGTAGCAGAACCAGCAGGCTGTGGAGTCCTACAGCTCTGCCATGTGCAGGTGCTACCAGCCTGCTCTGCTCACCTGGGGAGTCCCCACCCACCCATCACAACTCAGCTCAGGAGGCCCCTTGGCTGTGCTGCCCTTCCTGATCCTCTCCGCCCCTCAGTGGCACTCAGCTGTTCTAAGCTTTGGGTTCCATAAAACTCTGCTGACACCTGCTTCAGGTTTGTATCTGTGGGTTGTTAACTGATTATGTGAGTGCATAATTTTTATAATTGCCTGTAGTGCTTCCAATAAATGAATAAAACCACATACAAAATAGTAGCCTCTCTCACTAAGTAATGGTGATGCCAGGCTCCATCTAGCATGATATTCTAGTATCATAAAACTGACCTCTGTGTAATCGGACACGAAAAATGACGTTGTTCCATCATATTCCACAAAATGCTTTGGGAACAATTTAACCCAGGTTTCATCTCCATAAAAGATGATTCTCTTCCCGGCTGCTTTTGCTTGTCTTATCACACTGTCTTCCAGCAGTGCAGGAGAATTGAGGTTCCTGAGGACATCGACAAAGCCAGGGAGGCTCCCTGTCATCAAGGCCTGCGGTAAGAAAATGCAAGGGTTAGACCACCGAATCCAAAACTGGAGCACGAGAAGGGCACTCAAGATCTTCTTTTTTTTTTTTTTTTTTTTTTTGAGACAGGATCTCTCTCTGTTGCCCAGGCTGGAGTGCAGGCGTGCAATGGTGGATCACTGCAGCCTTGAACTCCTGGGCTCAAGCGATCCTCGCACCTCGGCTTCCCAAGTAGCTGGGACTACAGGTGTGTGCCACCATATCCAGCATTTTTTTTTTTTTTTTTTGGTAGACACAGGGTCTCACTATGTTGCCCAGGCTGGTCTGAAGATCTTTTTATGGATAAAATAGGAAGGCATAAAGCTAGGGTATCTGTAGTACTGGTACCTAGGTCAATGTTAGGACAGTAATTAGGGTTAAGAAGGGAAAGTGGCACATAGATTCTGATAAAAAATAGTAAACTCAATAATAAAGACAACCACATTAAAGGACATTCATGGCTCATAGTAATCTTTGCAGCTGATAAGAGGATAAAGGGGCAGCTAAGAATAGCGAGACAACAGCAGCAGCCAGAGAAGCAGCTCTGGGTTCACAGCATAGCTGCAGCAAAGTGAGGTGTACGTTAGAAACATGAACCTGTGTATGCAAAGCCTCTGCCAGGTTCCCAATTAAGACTCAAATCTTCTCCATGTGACAAGCAAAGTCCCTACGACTCCTAACAATCAAGCAATTCCACTGTCTACCTTGGAGTGGAAAACCAGGATGAAAACAGTCCTAAGGCGTTAACTTTCAGCAATTTGCAAAGTGAACTGGGCCAGGGAGGCCAGTGGGATAATCTCTTCTGCTCTCACCCAAATGATGCACCATATTTTCTGGGAGGGATGGTGGGTGACATGTCCTTAGACCCTTCTGATAATAGAAATAAGTCAAGAATCTCCCTGATTTTAGCACAGAGGCCATAGTAATGGGTAATGGATGATCTCTGTGATTTAGTTATACAACCACCCTAGCACTGGCATCCTGGAACCTGTGCAACGAAAATCAACAGGAAGTTGGATAATGCCAGCAGGTGAAACAATTTTACCAAGAAATGTTCAACAGGAAATAAATGCAAGCATGAATTATCCAGACTTCTGGAATGCCACAGTGAAGAGCTCAGCAAAATCTCTCCCCCAGGAGCAATAATAAAACTGAATGAAACTGTCAAAAGCAAGCATTTTAGAAGTTCGGAAATTCACCAAAAATTACAGAACAGATTGAGAAGTCCTTATTTAAGAAAGAAAACGGAATCTCAGTAAGAACAGCAAGTGCCCATGGTGTTTCCACACAGGGCGGCTCCCACCTCCCTCCTTTCCAGGCCCATGTCCAGGGAGGTCATGAAAACACAACAGGTGTGCTGAAGCACCTCTGACCAATCACGGGCTGACCACCAAGCTATGTGAAGCCAGGGCCAGCACTCAGGAAGACAGGCTTAAAAATAAAGACAAGAATTTGAAAACCAAAAGAACCAAAAGACCTAAGTCAAAATATCAGTTGCTGCATGCTCCCGGGGAGACAGACTGCAGAATTAGTTTAGGACGTCACTATGCAAACAACCAAAATAACCCTAACAGCCACCACCCTAACAGCCCCACTAGAGTGGGGTCAAAATCAAGCTGAGGTGCGGTTTGCCTGGATATACACATTTGCTAAATACTGTATACACAAAAATGTAATTGTATAAAAACTGTATCTCGGCCGGGCGCGGTGGCTCACGCCTATAATCCCAGCACTTTGGGATCGCAAGGTCAAGAGATTGAGACCATCCTGGTCAACATGGTGAAACCCTGTCTCTACTAAAAATACAAAAATTAGCTGGGCATGGTGGCACGCGCCTGTAATCCCAGCTACTCGGGAGGCTGAGGCAGGAGAAGTGCCTGAACCCAGGAGGCAGAGGTTGCGGTGAGCCGAGATCGCACCATTGCACTCCAGCCTGGGTAACAAGAGCAGAAACTCTGTCTCAAAAAAAAAAAAAAAAAAAAAATTCTATCTCAATAAAGTTATTCTTTAAAATGTAAGCCTCTCTCACCCCAAAATTCTACTCCTTAAAAGGCAGCCAATTACTCTTCATGAGCATCCTTTTAGATTCTTTCGTGTGTGTGTGTGTGTGTGTGTGTGTAAAACCACAAATACATGAAGGTAGACAAGTATACAAATTATTCTCAAACTTTTTCAATTAATAACATATCAGGAACCTCTTTACCCAGAAAAAATACAAGTATTTTATCTTTTTTCCAAACAGCTGCCAAGTATTCCAGTGTGTGGTTGTACGATAACACATTTAGCCACGACCATTTTATTGGGTATTTATTTTAAACAGCTTCCTATGGAAGTGCCACTTGAGCTAAGACCGGAAGGTTGAAAAGTTGTGGAGGTGTGGTGGGACTTCCCAGGGGAAAACACCCACAAACTGCAAAGGTCCCAGGCAGAAAAGAGAGCAGCAGCACCCTTGAGGAACTGAGCTGCGTGTGAGCCATGGGGGTGAAGGGCAAAGTACCACAGGAAGTGGCCCAACGAGGATGAAGAGGTGAACGGGAACGAGCTCGCACAGCGCCTTGAGGCACAAGTGACGACCTGTGTTCAAACGCAGCAGAGCGCAAAGTACTGAAGGGTTTTAAGGAGCAGTGTGGCAGAGTCTGGTTTGTGTCCAGGTGAGATTTGGGCAAGAAAGGTTCTAGGGCATTTTTAATAGTTCAGATTGAATCCCACAGCAGCCTGGACGATGGCGGTGGCAGTGGAGACACTGGCTCAGTCAACTTGTATTCACACCCACAGTATTTCAAGAGCACCTGTTCACCTCATTTTGTGTGCGGGGTAGAGATCATCGATCTTTACATTTTTATAATATGATAAAAAATGGCTTATGGATTGTTTTGTTTGCTCTGCTCTGATTACTAATAAAAAATTTTGGCTGGGAATGGTGGCTCACACCTGTAATCCCAGCACTTTGGGAGGCTGAGGCCGGCAGATCACCTAAGATTGGGAGTTCAAGACCAGCCTGACAAACACGGAGCAACCTCGTCTCTACTAAAAATACAAAATTAGCTGGGCATGGTGGTGCATGTGCCTGTAGTCCCAGCTACTCAGGAGGCTGAGGCAGGAGAATCGCTTGAACCCAGGAGGTGGAGGTTGTGGTGAACCAAGATGGCACCATTGCACTCCAGCCTGGGCAACAAGAGTGAAACCCCGTCTGAAAAAAAAAAGAATCTCTGCATACGTGTATTGGTGATTCTGCCTTCTTCCTTGGTGGATTCCGTTATATACTCGGCCCAGTTTCCACAGGACTGTCCCCCCTTGATCTGAACCTCTTTATACATCATGGGCTTGACATCTTGTATGTCATGTTCACTCTCAGTAATCTTTTCAGTTTATCATGTTAGACTTTATATTGACATTGACAATATCTATATAAAAGTTTTCTGTTTTCACCCCTTCTTTTGAAGCTTTTACAAGGCAGCTAGCTCCCTTGTCCTCACACTAGCTTGGGTTCTCACTCATATCTTTAAAGAGGGTAGGAACTACTTGGCACCCCCTCATCCCAGAAAGCGTGCAGGCAGCAGTTGGGCTGTCCTCACAGTCCCAGGAAACCTAAGGGAAAGCTCAGGTCTGTCAATCAATGCCAGCCATCACAATGACTAGAAAGTCCTTGAAGGAGGAGAAGGCATTCGACAATGAGGAACACGACTCTAAAACAAAGCTGCTGAGGGTCTGGCAAGTGAAAGCACACTGGGGATTTCAGGGTGGGCATCTGGCTGTAAAGGCATCAACATGAGCAGATGCTCTGAGCCTTTCTCGGACTGGAGGCCAGGCAGGGGACACTTTCCTCAACCACCACTGCCCAACCTACCAAACTCCAGGGCTGTACAACCTTAACTCCAGTGCGGGCAGATTTCTGTTCTAGCTCCTCCCTGATGGGGAATAAGGAGAAAGAATCCTCCAAGGACTGAAAATGAAACAAAACACTGGCTCTGGGGTGAGGCTCCCCAGCAAAGGTGAAATGAAACCAATAAGGTGGAGACGGAGGCCCCAACAACCAGTGCTGACATGCTGGTCTGAATAGAACCTCGAGCCCGCACAATCACTTACGCATTTTCTCAAACCTGCCTGTTAAATCTTAAATAAATAAATAAGGGAGAAAAGGGCTCCTTCCACACTTCTGATAGAGCAGATAAAGAAATCGGCGTCCCTGAATATCAGGGGCCTGGATATCTTCCAGATTCCCAGGGCTCGTTTCAGCAGAATGGAGGAAACTCTGGGTGCTGTGTTCAAAGGCACCTGCCCCTCTCCCCTTCATTCTCTCTCACCCCCTGCTCCATTCCTTCCAGAGCAGTCGTCACTGTCTGAAACAATCTTGATTGATTCATATTTTACCTACTTTCTATCCCTCCAATGAGAAAGGAAGCTCCGTGAAGACAATGCTGTCTTGTTCTTCACTGCATCCCTCCTGTCTAGAACACTGTGCGGCGCATAGTAGGTGTTCAATAAATACTGCTGAATGAAGGTCACATCACATTTAAGTGTGGCAGACAGAGTAAGAATTCAAGGAAAAAGTCAGTGAGCGACACGGCACTGCGCTTCCTTCAAGCTCAGACTGCTTTCATCCCGTGACTGTTCCCTGAGCACCTACCAATGCGGCTGCCCACAAGCCTTCAATCAGTACGTAGCTCCTTCTCACCAGATAATAAGGTGTCACGTCATCAACCACACAGCTAAGGCTCGGTCAGAGACTTCACGCCACACTCGCATGCCATACACTCACACACGCTTCAATGCCCCCTGCTTCTTTCTGCCCCCACCTTTATTCATCCTTCCCGTCTCAGCTGGAATGCAATTTCCTCAGCCAGGCTTTCTCACCCCCAATCTAACCCCACTACTCAGCATTGAACATCACATCCTGCTGTTTTCATCATGCACTGACCACAACTGCACGTTTTCATATGCTCTTTTGTTTAGTGGCCGTACATCTCACTAAAGGCTAAAACTCCATGAAGGCAGACATACTATTTTTTCCGATTTTTTTTTTTTTTTGAGACGGAGTTTCGCTCTTGTTACCCAGGCTGGAGTGCAATGGTGCGATCTCGGCTCACCGCAACCTCCGCCTCCTGGGTTCAGGCAATTCTCCTGCCTCAGCCTCCTGAGTAGCTGGGATTACAGGCACGCATCCCCATGCCCAGCTAATTTTTTGTATTTTTAGTAGAGACGGGGTTTCACCATGTTGACCAGGATGGTCTCGATCTCTTGACTTCGTGATCCACCTGCCTCGGCCTCCCAAAGTGTTTTTTTCTTTTTTAAAGACGGGGTTTCACCATGTTGGTCAGGCTAGTCTTGAACTCCGGACCTCAGGTGATCCGCCCGCCTTGGCCTCCAAAGTGCTTCAACTACAGGCATGAGCCACTACGCCCGGCCTTGCCAATTGTATACTCATTAAAATATCAGCACATAGTTACTCAAAAGTTTTTAACCCAATCCATGAAGACTTACTTTTTTATTTACCCATGGTTCTTGGGAAACGCACTATGTATTTCAAAGCTACTGTCACTAGGTTGAACACCTGAAGGACATGGCAGAAACAGTCATAATTGTTGAGGCCAGATCATATTGATTTGATCATTATTTATACTGGTGAACAATTTTGGAGAAGTCACATTTAACTTATTTGAGTTTGCTTTCCTATCTATAAAGTTTAGAGACAGAACTAGATAAACTCTAAAGACTCCTTCCAAGATTATAAATGACCCAGTGGCAATTAAAGAAGAAAGGTTACTAAGAATGTTATCTCTTGTAATCCCAGCACTTTGGGATCACGAGGTCAAGAGATAGAGACCATCCTGGCCAACATGGTGAAAGCCCGTCTCTACTAAAAATACAAAAAATTAGCTGGGCATGGTGGCGCGTGCCTGTAATCCCAGCTACTCAGGAGGCTGAGGCGGGAGAATTGCCTGAACCCAGGAGACGGAGGTTGCGGTAAGCCGAGATCTCGCCATTGCACTCCAGCCTGGGTAACAAGAGCGAAATTCCGTCTCAAAAAAAAAAAAAAAGAATGTTATCTCTTGGGGTAGGTTAGCCTGGATGATCTTGCTCTAAATCTTTTATACTTCCCACGAAGCATGAGTTTCGGCTACTTGATAAGGGGCACAAATCATGAGTCTCAGTTCCGTCCTGTGTGAGGCTCTTTCAGCATTCTTATAGCTGAAAGCACCAGCCAAATGATAGCACCAAATTTCCAACTTCTTAAAATTGCAACTCCAAGCAAAAGACTACAGAGGCCCCCCAAATTTTCAAAAGAGCCAAACCGTGATTCATAAAACATTAAGGCAAACTTACCTTGATTCGAGGCATAGTAACCGTAGGTGGCTTTGCTTCAGCCACAAAACTGTGAGATGCTCCTTTTTCCACGAGATAAGTTGTGTAGGGCATAAATTTCACACCCTTTGACCCAAACACGAAATCATCTCTCAAGGCATCTATCAGAACAATAACAACTTTACCGAAGAGAGGTGGTGGGAGCGTGGTCCAGTTAGAACTGGCTCCTAAGTGGAAGAAAAGAAGGAAATTGAACTTTCAACTGTCCTGAGCATTCGTGCACCTTCACAATCTAGCTTCTACCTACATCTCCAGCACAAATCCTGCCCTATCTACATAACGCAACCCAAAAGGAGGCGACGTGTACTTGGTAGGTAGTGCTAGGGGTACAGGGCGGGGGTTAACAGGAGTAACCTTAGGGACCCACAGTAGTAAGCAGTGAATTATCCTTTGTATGGTTAGAAGTACTGGGGCAAGGGGGTCCCTAAATAAGGGTCCTGGAATGGGACATTTAAGGAGCTTGACCTAAAACGCAGAGCTGCAGGTACGCCATGGCTGGGCGTTTACATGGTCAGTGGCTGGTGGTGTGTGCACGTGATCGAGACCATATGCCTTTATTTGCTGTGTGTGGCTGGGTAGGTGAAGACTAGGGAGAACATCTTGGAGGAACGTAAGAGAACCAAACCCGAGGGGATCCGCAGGGGTCTTATCTGTTGTGCGCTAGGGGCCAAAATGGGCACCCGGAGCAGGGAGTGACCCAAAGGCTGCTCAGGAAAGGGGCGGGGGCTCTGGACGAGTAGAGCTGGAGGCTGAATGGATACAGCTTACTTTGTGATCAGGAAGGAAGGTCGAAGTGGGGCCAGTAGCGGTGGCTGCCACAAAGTTATAGGAATACAGGAAAGAGACGCTGGAGCGGTTAATAGGAAGGAAGGAAGGAAGGAGGGAGGGAGGGAAGGAAGGAAGGAAGAAAGGAAGGAAGGAACGGAGAGAGGGAGGAAGGGAGGGAGGAAGGGAGGGAGGAAGGATGGAAGGAAGGAAGGGAGAGAGCAAGGAAGAGAGGAAGGGAGGGAGGGAGGGGAGGAAGAGAGAGGGGCGGGGGGAGGGAGAGAGAAAAAAAAGAAAGAGAGAAAAGAAAGAAAAAGAAAAGAGAGAAGAAAAAGAATTTCTGGGGATGGGGACCATAATGGAAGAGACCACCGGGGAGCGCTGAGAAGAAATCCGAGCAGCGAGGCTCAGAAAAAGGGTAAACGGGTCTAGGGTCAGGGGAGCGGAGACGCCCGGGAGGGGTCCGTACCAGCTGAGGGTTCGGGCGCTGGGGGCTCTGCTCCGTGTTCGGTCCCGGCAGAGGAACGAACGGGAGCCGGGAAGAATCCCCGAAGGAAGACCGCGATCCCGAGCACCTCGATCGCTACACAACAGGCTGCGAAAGTCCCGGCGCCCAGCCGCATCCTGCACACACGCTAGGCGGGAGGCGAAACAGACCCCACTTGAAGCCTCCCTCTGCTGCAGCCGCACTTCCGGGTCCAGGGAACCGCCTCTGAGCAAGAGCGCCAGCCCTGAACTTCGCAGCCAGCCACGGCGACGTCACTTCCTGCGCGTCACGGCGGAGTCACGCCGGAAATACGCACAGCGGGTGGCACTCCCGGGGCTCTAGGGCCGCCTTCCTGGAGAGTCCGCGACGGGCGCTGCCCACCGCGAGGAACAAGGTTTTAAAATTTTTTAATTTAAAAACCTTTTTTATAGGGGCCGGGCGCGGTGGCTCAAGCCTGTAATCCCAGCACTTTGAGAGGCGGAGGAGGGTGGATCACGAGGTCAAGAGATCGAGACCATCCTGGTCAACATGGTGAAACCCCGTCTCTGCTAAAAATACAAAAATTAGCTGGGCATGGTGGCGCGTGCCTGTAGTCCCAGCTACTCGGGAGGAGGAGGTAGGAGAATTGCCTGAACCCAGGGGGCGGAGGTTGCGGTGAGCCGAGATCGCGCCATTGCACTCCAGCCTGGGAAACAAGAGCGAAACTCCGTCTCAAAAAAAAAAAAAAAAACAAACCTTTTTTTATTCGGCACATTGTAACGGCACATATTTATGGGTACAATTTGATGTTCATATACACATACGTTGTCTAATTATCGAACCAGGGGAGCCTGTCCTAATACCTCACTGTTGCAGTCACCTGCAGTGCGCGAGAACACCAGAATTCGTCCTCCTGATGGTTACTTCGTGCCTACGACCAACCTCTCCCAGCCCTCCCTTCCTTCCCCACAATCTCTAGAGACCACTGTTCTATTCCCTGTTTCTCTGTCAATTGAAAAACAAAATTCAGGCCGGGGGCGATGCCTCACGTCTTAATCCCAGCATTTTGGGAGGCCGAGGTGCGCAGATGACGAGTCAGGAGTTTGAGAGCAGCCTGGCCAACATAGTGAAACTCCGTCTCTACTAAAAATGCAAAAAATTAGCCGGGCGTGGTGACGCGTGCCTGTAGTTCCAGCTGCTCGGGAGGCTGAGGCAGGAGAATCGCTTGAACCCGGGAGGCAGAGGTTGCAATGAGCCAAGATCGCGCCATTGCACTGCGGCATGGTGACAGAGGGAGACTCCGTCTCAAAAACAGAAGTCAACCCAATACCTCAGACAATACTGTTTTAAAGATTCCACCTGAGAGGTATATGTCTTCCTCTATCAGTCTTATTTTGCTTACATGATCTCCTCAGGTTTATCCGTGCTGTGGCAAATGATAGGATTTCATTCTTTCATTAGGGCTGAATAGTACTCCATTCTGTATATATATATATACACCACATTTTCATTATCTGTTGTGAAAGGAAAGTCTTGGGGCCCCCTAAGGGAGAAGTCAAGCTGCCTCCCATTCTATTCAAAGTCATCCCTCTGCTCACTGAGATAAATGCATATTCTGCTAGCCTCCTTTGGAGAGGCTTATCAGAAATTCAAAGAATGCAACCATTTGTCTCTCACCCACCTGTGACCTGGAAACCCCCTCCCTGCTCCTGGTTGTCCCCACCTTTCTGGACAGAACCAATATCCTTTTTTTTGAGATGGAGTCTCACTCTGTCACCCAGGCTGGAGTGCGATCTTGGCTCACTGCAACCTCCGCCTTCCCAGGTTCAAGCAATTTTCCAGCCTCAGCCTCCTGAGTAGTTGGGATTACAGGTATCTGCCACCACGCCTGGCTAATTTTTGTATTTTTAGTAGAGATGGGGTTTCACCATGTTGATCAAGCTGGTCTCAAAATCCTGACCTCATGATCTGCCCGCCTCGGCCTCCCAAAGTGCTGGGATTACAGGTGCGAGCCACCACTCCTGGCCTGGCCTGACATATATGATTGATGTCTCATGTCTGCCTAAAATGTATAAAACTAAGCTGTGCCCCGACCACCTTGGGTGCACATCGTCAGGACATCCTTAGGCTGTGTCACAGGCATGCGTTCTTAACTTTGGCAAGTAAGCCTCCACAAATGATTGAGACTTGTCATTTTTCTCAATTGACATTTGGTAAGCACTGGGGGATCCTGAGTGAAGGTAATCCAGCCTGCAGCAGCTCACCTGTTGGTCCTTGGTACTGGCTTGGGCACCTTATTGCCCAAACTGATGGGATAATTGCCGAAGTTCCTGGTTCCTCCAGGAATCCCTGATCTTCCAGTGTTTTTCAGGTGGGGATCTGATGTTTATTTGCTGTTAAAATAACTCCTTTTCTGGGAGTTTCCACTCGCTTCCATCAAGGAAGGCAAGCCTGCCTGCTTCTGCATCTGTAGAGAGCGGTCTTCAGATTGGGCCCTATCAGTAGGTAAGAAAACTGGTTTGGGATTTTGTCTTGCAAATTCTTTTAAAATGACTAAAAATAGCATTAACAACCAGCTGATGTTAATTTCTGCTTACACTTAGAGCGTTCAGAAATCATGTAATTTGTGTGATCATTGTGAGTTTTGCTTACCTGTTCTGCTGTTTGTTTCTGTCTTGTTGGGGTTTTTTTGTTTTTTGTTTTGTTTTGTTTTGTATGTTTTTGTCCTTTCCGTTATCGGATCTGACCAACTCCAAACCCTCTAGCGCATGAGCATGGAATCTTCCCCTCTGTAGAAATGAGGGCACCTTGTTCCCCTCAGCCTTTCCGGGCATTTTCAGACAACTGAGAATCATGTGAGAGTGTCTGGGAGGAATGCTCCTTAAGACATGCAGCGGCTCTAAATAGGTTTCCCCCTCAGAAGAACATACTTAGGGTCTAATCTCAGCTGGCAGGTGCATATAAGGAGCTGAGCCCTCCTGCACCTTGAGCCGCTGACACTGTGCCAGGCAGCTGCCACACAGATGGACCAAACCAGTTCAGGGGGTAATAGCCCTGAAAAGCCAGGTCTGCAAGCAACACATTTTGGGTCCCACACACATCCCGACTTGGCCAAATCCGAAGGGGAACTCTACATTACGGGAACAAGGCCTCTGAAGCGGCTTAATACCCCACTCTGCCCCACACACAAAAAGGGTGGTGTGGCTGGGGGAGGAAAATGGTCAGCAAAAGGAAAAAAAAAGAGAAAAGATTTTGACTTTGACTATTAAGGGACTTTATTTACATAACAAGGCCACCTTTTTGCCAGTCAGACCAAATTGAAAGAGCAGTGGTTATACTTCTGAAATAACAGCATTTTGTTCTAGCCAAAATATGGTAATGAGATTTAAAAATATGTGTTTGAAGGTGCTCAGTGGTTAAAAGTTAGCTTAATTAAAAGGCTAGCATCCAAGAGTTGTGTGTGCTGTGTGTGTTCATGTTTGTGTTTAGAAAGTTTTCATGTTTGTGTTTTCTGTTTGTTTTTCTCTCCTAGGACCTTGTCTTTTTTTTGAGTAAAGGTTTTTTTTTTTTTCTCAGTTCACTGAATTCTGTTTTCACTTGATTTTTTGACTAAAAAAGTTATTGTAACAGGCTACTCTTGGGTTTTTAAGGAAGAATGTAATTTAGACACGCAGAAATGTCTTTGTTAAAAAAAATGAAATGCACTATAAAGCATCACATGTTCTAACCTCAAAATAATTCTCCCTTTTTCTGGAGACCCAGGACTCAGTGTGGGCTCTGCCCAGAGCTCTGAGATCCAGTTAAAAGACATGTAGTCCCTATCTAAATAAAATCGGTCTCCTTATACAATCCTGTGATAGATTTCTATACTTTATGTTTGATTTGGCTCAAAGAAAAAGAAAACCATCTCTCTCTAGCACCAGCAGACTTTTTCTCTGTATACTGAAGCAGGAGCAGCTGCAAGGAACAGATCTCTCGAACACCGAACTGGGAAGTAAGAGCGAGGCTTTACGTTTTGTCTAAATGGCCAAGCTCACCTAACAAAGAGAAGCTCTGCCTTTATATAGACTTACACTGTAGTTATTACACATGAAAGGACCTTGGGTCTACAGTTTTAGAAATCACATATGAAAGGGTCTTGGTCGATGGAGGAGTGGGGTGGGGGTTTGATCTTCTTTAAGTAAAAGCAATGTCTTCTGGAGAGATTCCCCCACACCATGCCTGCTATTTACAGGAAGGTGATTTAGGAGGCGCCAGTCAGCCAGCCTTTTCTTCTACTGAAAGGCAGTGTGGAAGTCAAGGGGGAGGTGATCCTAGATGACTGGGTCTCCTTCCTCACCCCCCACCCCCGCCGCCCGCCACTTTGAGACCCTCATCGCTCTATAATATTAGTGAGAGGTCTCACTTTCATTCTCATGTTCCAGACCCTCTGAAGAAACTGATCAATAATGACGGATATAAAACATTTGTGATGTGGTTCTTCTGGTCTATTATAGCAGTAAAGGTTTTCTTAGCCATTTAGAGAAACAAGGGGGGAAAACGGGGGAGTAGTAAACAAACACCCACTATTGTTATTACATCTGTGATGAGGGTTTTTAATCCTCCCAAGGCTGAGGACCAACCTTTAAACGAGAACTCAGTGGCCACTTATTATTTTCCCGTTTACCTATTTCAGACTTCTTTTCACCACCACCACCCTCCCCCGCCCCGGGCAGAGTAGACTGGCTGTCCTAAATGCTCACCTCATAATAGCTTAACAGATAATAGGAAAAAAGAAGGCTTGCTGATGCCTATGACATAGCTACCTGTCCATCTTTCAGGCAGCTGTACCTATGCTCTATGTCCACATAGCCAGTACAACCCAGGAGGGGCTGTCTAGTCTCTCCAGGACCCAGGGTGATTGCAAGCATCCTGGAATTTTGGAAATTTTAGGAGGGGGTTCTTTTCTGTATGGTTTGAGCTCCACCAGGGTACAGTCGCTGCCCTATGCAGCTAAGCTTTCCAACTGGAACAGTGAAGTCTGTTCCTTCTCTGGCCAAACAATATTGTCCAATAATTGAAACCTTTAAAACCCAGAAACTGTTGGTTTGAACCCTTTGAACTGAGGTGAGGTCAGGGGTAGGGTCAGAGGGTAATAACTCACGGGCTTCCCATGGCCACCCGTCACCCACAGTCATCCCTCCACATACATAAAAAGAAGTAAAATTGAGGGAATGGGCCACATTTTCAGAAAATTGGAGGAACAAGTTCTTTGTCTTTTTTTGTGTGTGTTTAAAAATCTAACAGAGTTTTGTTTATTGATTT